TATGCAAGTCTACAGCGTTCACAGCGTTCACAGTTTCACGCGTTTCTAGGAAAGCGATAACGATAAACCATCCTAGCACATGCTCTACCTGTTGTACCTGCCGCCTATCTAATTGTACATAAAGTTGTCGTAACATTTCTTATCTTCATTTCACAACTAAAAGCATTTCTATATCCTAAACCACCGCTTAAGCAACTAGAGCTTTCATGCATGCCTCCTCCTGAACAATCCCTACCAGAGTCTACAAGCCCTCTTGTTAGACCAGAGGTTGCCATCACCTCCGACAATGACCCCGCCATGAGGGATCAAAAGCCCGCCGATCAGCCAGATACTTTGCCGACCGTCACGGCTACTCCGTCAGAGTCAGGACATGTCGAGCCTCTAAGCAAATCTAAAGATGGCGAGACGAAGGAAAGCATACAGGAGCCTAAAGCCCTAAACAACCAAGCCGTCTTAATAGACCCTGCCGAGGACAAGTCTCCAGCCGATCACTCTACCCACGCTACCCATGAGGAAGATGCTAAGGTTGAAGATATATCGGCGAATAAGACTGGTCAAGAATCAACATCCGATGCCCCTGTTGACCCTATGGAATCCTCAGTCGCGACTCTTAAACCCAAGAAACCACAATACTTAACTATTACAACTGCCCCATATGTCGACCCGACACCTCCTACTCCCGAAGGGTCCCAGCCACCGTCCAGAGCCAACTCCTCCCATCGACCCAAGGGGCATGGTCTAGAGCCCTCCCCAACTCGATCCGATGCCGGATATGACGAGAGGCGTTATCCAAGCGAAGATGAGCAAGAGGGCGCATCTCGTTCGGAAATTCAGAGTATCATGGAACAGTTTCCCGAAGATGGCGGTGGCCCAGGGGCAGATGAAGTGATGAGTCCGCGGCTTGAGATTGCTTCGCCTCTTTTAGGTAGCCCCCCGGTACAGCATCCGCCGAGGAAATCTAGCCTTGAGCCCCTTGCGCCGAGTATTGCTCAGCAGCTACAGGACGTGCAAGGTCTAAGGATCTCCAACACCTCGCCGATAAGTGCCCGGTCAAGGGATAAGTTAAAGGAGCCTGACGACTATGGTCCACCGGTTCCGCCCAAGGATGGGCCGTCGGATGAGACTTCGTCTGTGGCGCCCCTGCATAGACCCCCGCCTCCAGATCCGGAGCCAGAACCAGCTCTGCCGTTTGACTTCCACCGATTTTTAGAACAGCTCAAACATAAGAAGGCAGATCCCGTTGCAAGGTATCTCAAGTCTTTCTTGTCCGAGTTTGCAAAACGTCAGTGGATGGTTCACGAGCAAGTTAAGATTATTAGCGATTTTCTTACGTTTATAGCCAATAAAATGGCTCAATGTGAGGTATGGAGCGAGGTATCAGACGCAGAATTCGACAATGCCCGAGAAGGAATGGAGAAGCTTGTCATGAACAGGCTCTACACGCAGACCTTTTCACCCGCAATACCTCCGCCCCAACCTATCCCAGGCGCAAAACCGAAGCGCCGAGGAGGTGATCTACCACTAGGCCCAGGGCGACGCGGGCAGCACCAAGAGGACGTAGAGAGGGACGAAATACTAGCGCAGAAGATCAATATCTACAGCTGGGTCCGAGAAGAGCACTTAGATATTCCGCCTGCTAGTGATAGCGGCAAAAGATTTCTCAGTCTAGCTCAGCAGGGTACGTTTTCTACGCTCTCGTAACTGACGCTTAATCGCTAACAATTCTAGAACTTTTAAAAATCAAATCCTACCGGGCACCTCGAGACAAAATCATTTGCGTTCTTAACTGCTGCAAAGTCATATTTGGTATAGATATCGATATGTCAACATGCCATAGCATTAACTAATTGGGAGTTTAGGGCTTCTCAAACATAATAAATCCGACTCTTCCGCCGACTCACTCATGCCGCTTTTGATATACGTCGTTTTACGGTCTAATCCTGATCACCTGGTCTCTAATGTCCATTATATTTTGCGATTCCGGAACCAGGAAAAACTCGGCGGGGAAGCTGGATACTATCTTTCATCTTTGGTGAGCCTCGAAATAATCTCTGCTAAATAATTTTGTCTGCTTACCTCGGAAACTAGATGGGTGCTATACAGTTCATCGAGAGCATGGACCGTACTTCTCTGACAATATCGGATGAAGAATTCGACAAGAACGTCGAAGCAGCCGTCTCTGCTATTGCAGAGAAACATAGAGCGGAGGAGCCGCCTGCTGCAGCACAGCCACGGCAGTCCGAAAAGACTGGATTGTATCCCCCGGGCACCTCTTCAACGCGCCCGTCGCTCGATATGGATGGGTCAGCTACACCACGTCGATCCTTGTCGTCCAACGAGGACGACTCCGGTGAAGACAGTCCAGCAATATCCGGCTTGCTTCGTTCAATTCAAAAGCCCTTGTCGTCTATCGGTCGTATGTTTTCAGAGGATCCAAGCAGTGCTGGTCCCAGTTCGTCTGCCCGTATGCCTCAGCCTGATACTGCGTCACGACTTAGTCCTCGGCCCAGCGTTGATGGACAACCCCCTTCGATGGACACACGCCAGCGATTATCAGCTGAAGAAGCCGCAGCAAGGCAGGCTAGCGCTGAGGTTGCCGAAGCTCAGAGAATCCACCGAGCGGAGCACAACAATGTTGTAGAGACTCTAGCTAGTATGTTTCCGGATTTGGACCGAGATATCATCAGCGATGTTGTCTATCAGAAGGAGGGAAGGTAAGTTTGCTTACCCCATCGTCTGGATATTTTAACTTGCTAATACTTGAGTTCTATAGGGTTGGTCTTGCAGTGGATGCTTGTCTTGCATTGAGCGCATAATTTTAGTCAAAGTAACGTCCCCTTTCATACGGCGTCAAAGGAAGCATCCATAGATAGAGCCACAATAGGTGAAACTAGGGGAAGGGCGTCAACCAGAGGTCCTTCATAGGCTGAAATTATTCCTCTGGTCTTCAAGGTTGTCTTCATTTATCCATATAAGCTCAATAATACCCTGTCTTCGAATATTACTCTATCCTTGACTATTTAGTCACGATGGAGTGGTATATTGCAATTGAATCATTGAAATACTATCTAAGTGTCTATAAGTGAACTTCCTTCCCCCTTATTTTCTTGGGATTGACTATGATATCTCGCTCGTGTTACCTTCTAATAGGCACCGAGAGATTATTTCTCCAGGTACGTCAAGATTAGATATCTTGTAGGGACGACTAAAAAAACATGGTGATTTGATTGGTATACTCAATCCATAAGTCGAAACGGTAGAACTACTCATTACGGGGGGCATTAATAAATCCTAGGTGAGTTGGCGACGTACAGAGATTAGCACTATACAGCTGGATCCTTACTCGTACCCAAGTCAGCGTTTTAAGGAAGTCAGCAAGATATCTGCGCGACGATGCGTCAACCATTGTAGACAGTTACCAGTCATGATCTTAGTCCAAGGCCTATTTAAACTCAAACAGATCCCCCTAACTTTGCATGGACTTTTGGGTCATCAAATCCACAACCCTCATAGTGTCTCAACCAACACGATATCTTGCGATCTTTTTCGATATACGAATTCCCATCCACATAGCTTGATCCACAGCTACACTCGTTATTGCAGCTTCGGCGATTTATCCTCGATGGCGGGCGAATCTCTGGAAGATCCCGCGAAACGCGAGGTCAACCCTCCCAAGCCTCCACCAAGGCCACCGACCCCGGAACCGCCTTATAAACCAGACCCGCCTCTCTATGCAACCCATCTTTGGAAATGGTGAGTATCTCTTTATCATCTTGTCATTCTGGCCACCATATGTGGTTGATCTTGTAGCTACTTTGGCCTAAGCGGCAAGGGGAAGCTTTTCCGAGACAATTATGTTGTGGCCCTATTCATCCTGTCCTTTTCTATGTATTTACAGTTCGCTAACATAGCTTGTAGTTGCTATTGCAAGCACACATTTGCACCCCAGGAGCTAATGTGCACCACGAATAAATGTAGACACTGTCGATGCAAGAATTGCACGTGGGAGAAGATTCCATCTATACCCCAATGATTTCAGTTTGACGGTGGTGGATGTTATGGCTTGCTTTTACTCATGTATTCTGTTGCCACGGTGGTTTATATAACTAGTCTATATCTTAGACAAAAACATATAAAAATTATCATCCATTATTAATATATGAGATGATTCCGATGTATACCTACTTACCCCAGAGTGATAAGTTAGGCCTTCGCTTTTTTAGACTCGCCAGTGATATCTACAAGACTGACTGAAGATCAAATTTATAGACATTTCGTGATTTCGGCGTATAAAAAGGGGAATGAAAAAAGACCACAAAGCAAGTAAATCATGGCGTAAACTCTACGGCTTGAACTCGCGCCGTTTTATGTTAAAGTCCTTTTAGTTGTGACGGGAGCTATGTATGACCCTCTTAGTCGCGTGCTCTATCATGAATCACTGATTCAACTGGTGCATATAACGACTTCTCTAGCAGTTTCCAGTCGTCAAAATAAGTTTGTCCTATGGTTTTGAGAGTTAACATACTCAAATATTTGACAAGCTATGCGCGCCGATTCAGGGCAAAGACATACCCAGCATCATGGATGCGTAATTTTCGTAACAAACACCGACAAGAAGCCAGTACATTGATTTCAGCTAGAACCTGCTTGTGCTTTTAATGGACTGTGTATTTGTTGCTATCCTAGGAAGATGTCGGTGGTGATTGTTTGGCTTGCTGACAAGAGGAGGGTATCGTTTGAGGTTATTTAGATGAAGCAAGAGATGAGAGCCTGAGCCAAATATTATTGCATAAAGCAATCATGTGGAGGATATTATAAAAGGCGAAACATTGACCACGGGGATATTACTTCCTTCATAGATGAACAATTATCCTGACAGTACCAAAGTGTAGTTCATTCTACTTCATTATTGACCTAACCACTTACTCCCTAGTTCCGATAAATTTGGTGTCTAAGTCCTCTCAAGTTCGCTCTACGCTTTCTTCCTCGGAATTGTCATCATGGCTGGTCGGAAGAACCCCCATATTTTGAGCGCGTTGACCAGCGTTCTTGGAGACTCAGTCTTACAGCCTGGCAGCGCTGAATATGAGAAAGATAACGGCTCATACTTCAGTGCCTTCGAGAGCGAAATTAGGCCCTCGTTTATTGCCAAACCAAATAATGTCGAGCAGGTACAGGGTATAGTCCGGGCTCTTCGTCCATATGTTCTCTCAGGAGACTGCGAGTTGGCTATCCGAGGAACTGGCCATTCTCCAACTGATAGCAGTGCAAACGTCCAGGGTGGCGTTACGATCGATATGCGAGGCCTTAAAGGCATTAAGTTAAGTGATGATCAGTCGGTAGTGGAAATTTGCGCTGGAGAAATTTGGGCTCCTGTCTACGCCGAGCTGGAGAAGTATGGCTTGACAGTAGCGGGTGCTCGTGTTGGCCGTATCGGTGTTGCCGGTTTCCTCTTAGGAGGTAATATTGAGTCACAGCATATACTTAGATCACTGCCTATCTTACTAACTTGATAATAGGGGGTTTGTCTATATTCTCAACGCGGAAAGGGTTCGCATGCGACTCGGTCGTTGAGTTCCAGGTTGTCCTCGCATCTGGCGAGGTTGTCCGCGCAAATGCGGAAGAAAACGCCGATCTCTGGCGTAGCTTGAGGGGCGGTATGAATAACTTTGGGATTGTTACCTCTTTCAAGATGAAGACTTTCAAATCAGGACCTATATGGGGAGGGATAACATACCACTATCCCAATGACGAAACAACTTACCTGCTTATCGACTCTGTTTGTATCTTTCCCGAAGAAAACCCCTCCTATAATGAACATGACAAAGACACTTATCTCACGTATAGCATTAGTTACAGTTCTGGACAGAAAACTTTGATGTGTGTCATGTATCACACCAAAGGCAAAGAAAACCCAAGTCAACTACAATGGCTTACAGGTAAAGAGAAAGATCCAGAGTTTGAGTGTGGTATTATTGAAGAAAAGTGCACTCTGCGGATGTCGACGCAACTGGATTTCTGTGAGGAATTATCAAAATTGTCAAGTGATGGATTGCGGTTAGACCCCTTATAAAATGTGATTTCGTCTTAGCCATTACTAAACTTTCAATAGACAATTCTGGGCTTCAATCACTATCGGACACGAGTCCGGAATACTAGAGGACATCTATTACGAATGGAATAATACACTCGACAAATTAAAAGATGCCGAGGGGTTCACCTTTACTATCGAATTCCACCCATTGACTAGGTCTATGTTAGAGAATTCAGCAAAGGCGGGTAGTAATGCTATGGCTATTCCGCCTCCGGATAGACCGCTATTCATAGTATTAATTCATCCGACCTGGTCGCTGGTAGAAGATGACGATCGCATATTCAAGGAAGTAGAAAACCTCATGGCAGAGTCCAAGCGGGTGGCGATTAATAAGTTTAGTTCATCATATTACCACCCTTATATCTTTGCGAATTACGCCTACGAGGAGGACGATGTCATTGCGGGATATGGGCAGGAGAGCGTGGCGATGCTTAAAGAGACCAGTAAGAAATACGACCCAGAGGGTATATTTCAGAAGGGCACTCCTGGTGGTTTCAAACTCCCAAAGTAGTTACTCTAAGATAATTCGGGGATCTTCGTGTAATTTAGATTCTACACAGTGATCTCTAGGGATAGCGATACCAATAGATGGAACATGTACCAAATATTGGTCCTTAGTTCTCTCAGTATTAAGTTTACCAGTATTACCCTTATGATATTCGTGCTTCGATGATCTAAGATTCCTCTGCTATAGCTGACTCCTATTAACATACCTTAACTTTAGTATTCGAACAATATTGCACAAAAAACGGCGAGTTTCATTTATATAAAATATATTTCACATCTATATGACACTCCATACTTCTAGTACGTGCTTATCAGATGCTTTTCCATTGTAACTGCAACGTAGTCTTATGCGACCCCTTCTCAGAATAGACAGCACCCTGTGTAGAGCCGCTAGGAACCGAATCGGCATACCAGTCATTGCCACCGGAATTCGCCAGATTTGCTCCATCTGCAGCAAAGACGTCAGCGTCGGCACTGCTGATACCAGAGGCGCAAGTCAGCGAGCCACCTGACGCGGAGCAGTAGCCCTTGCTGGACTTGAGCGTAAAGCCACTTCCGGAAGAAGCGGCTGTGAAGGTCGCACAGGTTCCTGTCGTGTACCAGGAGCCACTCCCGATGATACACCCTTTTGCAGAGCCACCGACTACGGCGTTTAGATAACCCTTTCCTGAGAATGACCCTGTTGGCGTTGGTGAGGTTCCACCCGATGTCGTACTCGTTGGTTTAGAAGTAGTCGTGGTCGTTGATCCACCACCGTTACCCCTGCTCTTAGGGAGGTACTTGACACCCGTGCTAGGACAGCCGCCATCGTCGCCGTTGTCCGGACTCGCCGGTACGAACTCGCCATTGGCAACTGAACCCCTCACATTAAAGTAGTAATAAACTTGTTCGATGGCGCTCCCGCTGCAACCAATGTAGACGGTTTCGCCATTGTGGTTCTTAGATAAGGCGGCCTGGATGTCTGAGAGCTTGTAGGTCTTGCTTGAGCTTGGCGTGATACCCGCGTCCGCCAGCCACTTATACGTTGTTAGGGTCTTGAATAGGCTAACCGTCGTATTGAAGTAGTAGGTGACTTCCTCGGTGGCCTTGTAGTCGGTGAAGCAGCTCGGGTTCAGCGTTGAGACACACGTGCCGTGTTTTCCCCATTCGTGTTCCCAGAATGTCTCTCCTGTGCCATCATTCGGCAGCCAGTACGTCTCCATGTAACTAAGGAGATCATTATTACCAGCCGCCGTTAGGATATCTGATATATTTTTATAGGCACGTTTGCTGTCGCATGTAGCGTCGTACGTGCCATCGCAGTGGTCAGGCCAGAGACCGTGAATAGTCCAGGAATCATCAGGTCCAACTGCAGGGTCCGTATCCCAGAATTGAGTCTGCAATAGCGATCCTCCTGGGTAGTTGAAGCAACAGGTATCGGCGACTTTGGTGTCGTTATGGCATGATAACTCCAGCGTACCGGTACATTGTTTGAGAGTACCGCCGAGGACTGACTGAGCTAGAAACAGCACAGTCAAGGATCCGGCACCGAACATGCGAGTAGAGAACATATTGTCGTAGCCTATGATGCCTCCATTTCTAGTCAATGGTAGGCGGCCATTACCTCCTTTTTAAGCTTTTCATCACCGTCCGGCGCTTAGGTCAGGGGAAGACGCGGTCGTTATCATGCGCGCTCTTCCCCACTGATCAGCGTTACATTGCAACGCCCTAGGCCAAGACCTTCTTATTCAGGCGAAAAGCGATCATTCTTCGCACTAGCAACCGTCGAATCATGTGTTAGAGATAGCCATCATGCTCTCTGTTCTTCGGTCCGTAAACATCCCAATTACCTAGCTTGTTCAATCATAAGCCTAGTAATGCGTTTCATTAAAATTGCTTTTAAGTGGGCAGTTAATGGACTTCGATATCGTTAGTCTCACAGCTTTACTTGCTAGACTAGGAAGCTGTCGGGTCGGATTAAATTGTATGGATAACGTCGCCGAAACAGGTTTTAGAGCGATGAATTGCTTGTGACATGGGCAGCATGAGATATATCCTATAAGCTACATTTTAATATAGGTTGGAATTGAATTGTTCAAAAACTAACAAGTATAAATCTAAGGTTAGCATGTAAATTTAAATCAATGAGAGGTATATAATTCCAAACCTCTCTTGTAAGGTAGACTGAAGTTCCAGGGGCCAGATAGGTCAGTTATCTCCATATAAAATAGGAGTGAATTGTTCGTCATACAGTGACCAATCGAATAGAATTACACTTTTACAATAAGATCCCATTAATTGAAGTATATTTAATATATTATCTACTCTGCTGAATAGAAATAATATCGGAATGTAGATACGTGTCCTCCCCCTATTATCCCATTACCTGTCTTGCAATATGTCATATTTTTCCCAAGGGAAAATATATTTATAAAAGCGAGAGATGCAAAGAGCATTAAAGGTGAATGTCAACATACTTGTAGATATTATAATTATACTTTAATAATATTATATTTTCTATCTTAGGCCCTCAGTACCATCCCCATTGAACTTACAACTATGGAGGTTCCCTAGAGTATTATGCTAAAAATTAGTGTCTACTGAATTATTATTTTACTGCTAGTGTCATTGGGAATGAGACCGCTTTCATTACTTCCCTGAAGGAAAGGTAATCGTAATCGGTATTTCATCAACTCCCATATTTAAGAGAATCTTGGCAAAGACCGTACTAACTTTGTCCATCTTCAATATTTTAGTGTCGATAGCACGTTTGATTTCATCGCTTATGAGCTTCCATTCTTCGTCTGTTCTAGGTCTAATACATTTGCACCTCTCTGTATGCTCAACACCCGTAGGTTTCAGTTGAGCGCCCAGCTGGACGGTACACCCTGTGTCAGGATTGCGAACTGTAGGTCCCTGGTTACGGGCGGGGAAACTAGATTGCTGGTCGGACATATTGAATATTTATGTTTCGGTTACTGTAGGATAGCTTACTTTTCTTATTGGGATAAAGAGCTTGATGGCTAGGTTGAATGAATGATTGTGGGGATTTTGGTTGTATATATCTTTGCTGGCCCTGTAGTTTGAACTCGTACAACTGAGTCGTGAGGAAATCAATGACGTTGTATTTTAACTTGCAAATAGTGGTTATATTTCAAGTTTTGATAACGTTATGCATAGTTATAAACTATTTGAAACTTGCTGGTTTTTTTGTTTTAGTTACTGACAGATCTATGAAATATTTTGTAATATAGGAATAAGGGTAACTCAAATTAATAACTTTAGGATTAAATTCAGCGTAACCATAATTTACTCGACGTATTGTAGTCTCATCCATATTGGCTGTGTGACATATTAGCACTTTAAAGGTACATTATGATATAAAACAAGTCGTACCTACGTGACGTGTAGATGTAAGGATAATTTTGAGTGAGCATTTATTCAAACATGGACCAGGGTGTCTTTTTCGACACCGTAGTAATGCGAATTAAGGTAGTACGGGATCAGGACGATGGAGGAGGTGTCTGATTTACATCCTGAATATGTCTTTCGGTAGAGAGATAGGCGTGTCGAGGTTGTGCTTGGTGATGTAGCATCATTTCCCAAAAGTGAAATAAAGGAAACGGGTGGAAGTACCTGGCTCAGCTTACTGGCAAACAACGCTAGAGATGACTTATACTGAGGTGTATAACTTGGAGTAGGTACATAGTTGTAGTTGCACCTATTCTCTCGCCACAATGTACAAACTCGGGTCATACAAAGAACGTTTGGCTTTGTGTTATACTGTAGGTAGCCAGGTAACTTGGAGTGATGATACTAATATCAACCCGTGCGTACTTACTCCATATCTCTTAGAATATACTTACTTACGTTTATCGAAGACAACTATAAACATTCTTATAATTTATATTATACATAAGGTAGTTACTTTGATGTAAACAAGACTTTATTAGTATATAATGACTAGCTAAGTTTAAACTTATAGTCCATTATTATCTCGTTATACATTCCCTTAAACTACATCAATCATGTTGAAATTCCCTACTCATCTAGTACGGTCCTGGTAATAGTATTTACTAGGTAGTTTTTAAGGATATAGATTGGATATATCTAATATGTTAGTCCTATAGTAAGTCTAACAAGTACATACGTCTTTCTTTGACATAAAACTAAGATCACTTAACGAAAAGAATAGGTACTTATCCTTAGATAACGATATAATATCCTCTGTATAAGCGGGACTAATCAGCTACTTTCCCCGCTTCCCCCCTCCGATCTCCGCATCGTACCGGAACCGGGGTCCCGATTCATCTATCTTGTTCTAAACCTTTCTCAGACGAACCTTGCTATTCCGAAGACTTATATTGAACATGATTATTTAGCAAGAGTAGTCAAGTGAGGTGGAGCAGGTGTCGGTACAATACCTTGATATAATCGGTGGAAAATTGGTGAGGTCGGTTCCCCGCAAAACCAACCTCGTCAATCAAAATAATCAAGCTTTCCGGGAATTAACCAAGGCATATAGTTACCTAAGGAAATACACTGCATGTAAGCTTTCAGCGGGATCGGGGGGCATACAAAATGACAGATTCCGTACCGACAACAATCTCTCAAGACTCCAAACACACCGAACACAGAAATACCGAAGCAGCATACGGTGTGAGTTTTCATAGGATGACATCTCTCTCGGCGGCGCTAGTTCTTCTAGCGGCCGGAGTTCTTGTTCAAGCCTATAGTGGCTCTTCGACATTCGACTATGAGCGATTATTGAAACGTGAAGTCCCAGGACAGGCTCAGATTATTGACTGGAAATCGTTCAATGTTCTGCCAACCGTTTCGCCCCCATCGGTGGCTAATGCTACCACGGTAAACTCTACTAATATATTCGTACATCGCTTCGGAGCTAATGTAGAATAGTTTTTCTTCATACCACCGGGACATGATTTAGAGTCATTGAAAGAAAAGCCTTTTCATATTTATGACGATGAATTCTACGATGTGATTGGGCCTAACCCTACGTTGACACTCATCGCCAACGCGGGAACAAATCCCCTATTTCACGAGGCCCCCGTCTGGTATGTTTGTAAGAAACATATAAGTTTATATGGATAAGTCTAAAACGTTCGATGCTAGGTATCCGCCTACAGATGAGATGTTCTTTGTGCAAAACGCCGGAGCTCCAGCCACGGGCACAGGCCTAAACAAATCTAATATCATCCTTAAAATCGCGCTTTCAGAAGCTGCGGCCGTATCGAATCTTCGTAACGCAACGGGATCTGTTAACGTTGAGACTGTTGATGCACCAGCCATCATCAACTCGAATGGTAAGACCAACTAGTTCCAGATATGAGTTACTTTGTCGGCTTACCAATTTACTTTAGGTGGAACAAACTATAAGGGCGAAATCGTATTCGCCGCGCAAGGCCAAGGAAATGATTCTACGTCACAGCTAGTCGTGATGAATCCGAGGGAACCGTATAATACAACTAGTAAGTACAAGACACTCTAATTTACGAAGAGAGTCAGCTCATATTTCGCAATAAGTACTACTCAATAATTACTTCGGGCGTCAGTTCAATTCCCTAAACGATGTCGCGGTCAACCCTCGCAATAAGGAATTATATTTCAGCGATAGTCTCTACGGATATCTACAGAATTTCCGGCCCGCACCAGGACTCCGGACTCAAATATATAGATACAACCCCGAGACTGGCGCAGTCGCTGCAGTCGCAGATGGGTTCAGTGTTAATAACGGTAAGATGTATTATATGAGGTTATCATATGTATTGAGCATTCAAATTCTAATACGTATCTACTCCCTAGGATTAACATTCTCTCCTAACGGCTCACATGCCTACGTCACTGATACCGGAGTCAATAAGGTTGCATTGGGTTGGAATTTTAGTGAGCCTGCCAGCATGTATGAAATCACGGCCGATACAAACGAATTGGACAGTAGCTAATACGTTCGTAGTTATCGTTTCGATGTTCAGGAAGATGGAACTTGGGATAATCGTAAGCTTTTTGCATACGTCGACACCGGTGTTCCAGACGGTAAGTTATGAGCAACTTTTCCCCCTAAGTAGTTCCACGACTAATAAAATACATTCAATCATGTAGGTGTTCACTGCGATAGCAATGGCAATGTCTACTCTGGTTGCGGCGATGGCGTGCAGGTGTGGAACCCATCAGGAAAACTCATCGGAAAGATCTTCCTCGGCTCGACGTCCGCGAACTTCAACTTCGCTGGTGATGGGCGAATGGTCATTCTCGCGGAGGAGGATCTCTACTATGCTACCCTTGCAGCTTCAGGGGGCGGATACATTGGAGATGTTTGATCTTAGCATGAAGTATTATAAATTTAGTCAATTTGACAACGTTTTCAAACCCGTAAGAATAACATATTGGCCAAAATTCGTGTCATCTAAAATAACAGGCGAGTATTAAGACTTTAGAGAATCGATATACTGCTTGACAAGTGTTTCCGCGCTCTCGTCCTTAGCCAGCCCAAGCTTCAGCGGCGTAGTTGTGTTAAGCTCCGGTGCCCAGCTTCGCAATATCCGTTCGAGGTCTGGATTAGTCTCCTCCTTGAGGTACTTCAACTTGTCCTCCCCTCCATACTTAGCAAGCGCGTCTATCAGCTCCTGTATCGAGACCGAGATCCCGGGGACATTTATATGGCGGATGTGCTTCGGTAGCTTCGAGCTGTCCATGTCCAACACTCTAATAAGATTTTCCTGCAGGGTTCCTGGGGAAGTAAGAAACGATTTGAACGACCGGTCTTTCAGCGGAATGACGCTCTCCTCGCCCTTCATCGGCTCCCGGATCATCCCGGACAGGAACGACGATGCGGCGTTGGTAGGCCGGCCCGGCCGCACCGAGACCGTCGGAAACCGCAGGCTGAAGGCGTCGATGAAGCCCCGCCGATGCATGTCGTTGATAAAGACCTCCGTCATCAACTTGTGCGCGCCATACGTGCCCTCGGGCGTCGGCGTGACACTATCCGAGATAGGCCCGTCCGGCAGCGGCTGTCCGTACACGGCCTGGGAGCTGGAGTAAATCACGCGGACCCCGGGGTACTTGGCTCGCAGCGCTAGCAGCAGGTCTCTTACGCTGTTTACATTAACGCGCATCGAGAGGTCCCAGTTGGCTTCCGACCCGGCCGACATGATGCCGTGGAAGATGAATATAGCGGAGAGCGAGGCAGCGGCGTCTAGCAGGGACGCTACGAACGCCGGATCGCAGATGTCGCCTTTGAGCGCCGTAGCGTTCTGCGGGTACTTGACCCCCGGGGGAATGACCGGCTCGACTAGGTCCGTTAGAACTACCCGGTACCCCGGGTCGTTGAGCAGACGAGCCGCGAGCAAGGGGCCGATGAAACCGCCGGCGCCGGTGACGATGATGTTCTTGGGGATCGGCGACATGGTTATGTTTAGACGGGATTGCTTTGCTTGGTGGTGGTATTAATAGAGACAAGTACTTAATTAATTAATTAAGATAGGTACGACTAGATTGCCAAGGGGAGGGCATTGGATTGTCTCTTAAGCTACCGGGTCAAGACCCTCGGTATAAGTGGGTGTGGATATCGGGGGAAATAGTTCCTGGTATTCGTTACATAGAAAGCGAGGAAAGAGACTGCGGGGTCAAGCTACGGTACGATTTACGGTGGCAGGGAGGTTGAGGAGTGCATACGATCTTGGTCCACTTTCGGCTTCTCGGAATGCGGAGTGCATCTCCTAGAAACCCTGTACCGTATGTCGTACGTCACTGCTAGAGCCTAGAAGCGTTAGATATGGTTCTAAATGGCTTCTTTAATTCTTGGCAGGACTATAAAAAACTAAAGAGTAGGTAAACCTAAGCTTTTTTTCTATAGGGGTGAGAGTGACTTCAAAGCCGTTGTTTGCTAACGAGGTATAACAAGGCTTTACATACTAATGTACGTTTAAATATCAATTACTTAGTGATATTACGGAGTTGAGATTATAATATGAAACTACTTTTAAATAAATTAACTATAACTATGAGCTTAAGGCTGTTTAGTCGCCCCTTTTTTTTCTTTTTTTTCTTTTTTTTCTTTCTTTTTAATCAACAACTACTTTACACTCTTAGAGAACTAACTACTAATAAATATTAAGTCAATCCATCTTAAGGTAAAGCCGCAACCAGCTCCGCATCAGCTGGACTACTTGGCCGAGTCAGATAAACTTTCCCAGATGGCCTTCTGGATGTCATCATCTTCCTCGGGATCCAGCGTGTATTCAATGTCCTGGTAATCTTCATGGTCGGGAATACCATCGAGAGAATCAGCATCTACTAATTCATCCTCTGTCATTTCGTCACCCGAATCCACTGCTTCCGAAGCAAATGGAGGGTTGGGCTCCTTCGGTGGCGCTGGTGGTGTGAGTACAGATGGCTCATCCATGAAGGCTTCCCTCGCATCTGCAGATGCATCCACCTTTCCGGGTATCCAATGAACTTGTATACCATCTGCAGCCAGGTGCTTGATCATCTGGATGAAACTTGATATCTGATATCGGCGTTCTGCCGTAGCAGGATACTTTTTTACCACTATACCAAGTCTATTCTTCTCAACGTAAGCCTTTCTCTTAGCGCTGTATTTCAAGTCGTGGACCTTACCCAAAAAATGGAGCAGATTTTGGTTGAGAGAGGTAACCAGCAGCAACTGAAATCGCTGGGCTTGGCCAGCGAAGTATGCGCTGTTCGTGTAAATATGCTCATGAACAAGCTTTTTTCTGTAGGGCAATACCTTCGCTGACACGTGGTGTAGCATCCGGGTTAGAGCAGCTAGATGAGCATTATCAAGATTCCAATCTGCAGTTCCAAGGTCGGATTTTGCCATACACTTGTAATTGATATTCATCGGGGAGTCATGTCCGAAGTTGAAGTATGCATGGCATTCAATCTGCTCTAAACCACGTACGAAATTTGTTGGACGTACGACGGCTATCAGATAACGCTCTCTATCCGGGCAAACATGAGAGGGATGAACACCGAAAGACCCAGGCCCGCCCCCTGCGGCCCAGGTAAGGCCACATGCTTCACAGTCGTAGTATGGGCGGCCTTCATTAACCATTTTTGGTATCTTAAGGTAGGCTAACTTGTTGCGTTCCTCAGGACGTAAGCCGTCTAGGTATCCCAAGTCAACAACACCTTTACTAATTAGTTCGAATCGCGGTTCGACGTTGTGAGCCGATTCAGGGCAGGAAAGTTCAGTTGTATCCTTTGGGATTCTACCGTAGTTGGTCACGTTGACACTATGTAAACATACCTTGCAAGTCAGGAGCTTGTGCTGCGGACAGTACAGCCGTGACGCGTCGATTTCCTTGAAAGCGCTCATTGTAAATGTTAATTAGCGTAGGTTGTATTCGTAATTTGAAATATGAAAGTTAAATTAGCTTTGAATGCTTAATTATTTAGCAGAAAGAAAATAATCCTATGGAGAAAATCGTCGAGAATATATATTTATTTTATACAATGTTATTGAATAATCGTGACCGAATATGATGGTTATATCATGAACAATGTAGTAGTTATTTTTCATGTTTTTAATCAGTTTAGATGTTGTTTAGGTATATTAACATCTGTTTTATATTATAGTATAGGTATATAATGTATTTGTCAGTTTGTTTCTCGACATTAGGCACTTAATTACTTTAAACTTGACTCTTGATCTTAACTCTCGGGTACGACTTATAAAGTAGGTATATATATCTAACTATAATATAATAACTAACAATTCTGTCAAGTATTTTAATTTATCGGCAAGAAGTTAACAGGTAAAAATCTTGAATATATAATATTCTGTTATATATATTCTTTAATGCTTGTCATACAAAAGGTAAATTTCAGGACAGATAGATCAGGTAGTAGGTAAACTCTTGTAGCTACTCCTAACCTACTCATAGCCTAGCATATTCTTAATGAGCTAGGTTAGGTTAGGTGCTCATATCAGGTATTAAGTGAACATGGGTATTATTGCGCCCTTAGGAATGATATTGTGATTCTAGATGAGATCTCTAGAACTAAGGATGCCCTCGGTACGTATAGTCACCAGTTTCCATACCTTCTAACTTCACCTCTTGGTATAGGGATAGGGGGTAGAAAAACATAAACTTGACTTCTTGGGACCATGGTTATATACATATATATATATATATATATAACGCTTGTTTGTCTATGATGTTTCAAGATGGTCACAAGGCAAGCCTCTTATCCATCCTATACCGGAGACACTTGGTTTCTTACCGTCGGGCTCTGCAAGATATCCTGGTCTTGTAATTGTAACCCGACTATCGAATACTAGACTGCTGGAAGTTAAAGATCTAGAACGAAGAGCTCATAGCTACATCGCTAGTTTAGTCTCAGATAAGATTATAGTTCTTCATTCAACAACAATTGAGCTGTTTTTCTGATAGGTTATCGGGCGTAGGAGTCAATAAGTATATTCTAGACTGAGAGTGCTAGACTGAGAATAAACGACTCATTTGATATAAATATTCGGCGATGTTGAAGCTGGTGGGGCTGTCGCGTGAGGTGATTGGAGAATAGAAAGAGCTGGGAAAGCCAAGAAGGTTAGGTGGGCTAGGCGGAGATTTTTAAAAAGAATTGCTCGATGAGATGAGATAATATGTAGATTGCAGATAGTAGCAGATAGCGGTAGCGTCATAATCTGCGGGACACATGGGGTTTCAGCGGGGCTTCAGCGGGGCTAATGATCCATTGCAGACCAGGGAGATCCTTACGCCCCAGCTACCGCTAAACCTGAAACGACCATATCAAGTACGATCGAATGTCCAACCAACGCCATTCCAATCGTTTTTAACCAATCAGCTGCTTATCTTTAACTGGCTTATCTCCATTGGCGGCGACACCGAAGGAAAGTAAATGGATTCGTTATGTCCAGGAATGTACCTAGCCGAATAGCCACATGCACACGGTTACGCGGTATGATACCAGGTAATGAGATGAGTATTTGGAGGTTTTGTACATGATGTGGGGGAATCTTCCTGGTCTGGAGACATACATAACCTACTTTACGTGTATGTACTATGTCAGATATCGCAAGTACTGTAGGGATTAATTGCCTAGGTAATCATGGCTTGAAGGATGTAATACTTATTACTTTCCCTCCTATTTTGATCTTGTTTATCTTGGAAGCGAATATATATGTGTTTCTACTTCCCACGTTGAAGTTGAAGTTGAATTTGGGGTTACTATCGCATACTCAAGGTTCATAAACCTAGAGTTTCGACGTATAATAACTAATTAATACTACAACTTAATACGACACGGACGAACCCAATCATCCTTACTGCTTACCTACATACCTACCTACCTAAGGTACCTATTCCGGCTGGGTTTTCACGTCATACATGTGAGAAAATCGATACACGTGCGTCTAGTTACCATTACTCGACAATTACCTAAACTCATCGGAACCCCTTCAACCATTTAAATCCAGGGTCTACTGGATTGGTCATCACGATGGCTAGGCTTCATAATTCGAGGATTAGTAGTTGGATGGATAAGGCTGCTGTAGATAACGAAGATGGTCTCACAGTCGCCCAGTTGATGGTAAGGCTGAATCCACACACCCATCTTCATACCCATCTTATTCTCGGCATCCGATATCGTGCCATGAAAAACCAGCAAGTCGAAATAATCACACCACTAACCAACCCGATTAGTTAACAAACAATGATCTTAAACCTGTTGAGCCCGAGCGTCGCCAATGGGGAGCTTGGAACTTCGTTGGCTTTTGGGTTGCTGATTCTTTCAACATCAACACGTGGATGATTAGCTCGTCCATGATCGTGGGTGGACTCTCGTGGTGGCAGTCTTGGCTCTGCGTGTGGATTGGATACGCAATCGCTGGGTGCTTCGTCTGCATGACCGGTCGCATCGGAGCTATGTACCATATCGGTTTCCCGGTTGTGAGCCGATCGAGTTTTGGAATATGGGGCTGTCTCTGGCCCGTATTTAATCGTGCTGCCATGGCGTGTATTTGGTACGGTGTGCAGTCGTATATTGGTGGACACTGCGTATATCTCATGATTCGATCTATCTGGCTTAGTTGGGTAAGTTTGGCTGGATTGCTGTACTTGTACATATTAAGGAGAAGTTGAATTGCTAACATCTTTTAGGACCGCGACACTATCCCGAACTCGTTCTCGCCGGACTCGGGGACCACAACCGCCGATTATGTCTCCTTTTTCCTCTTCTGGCTCCTGTCGCTACCGGCAATCTGGTTCCCCGTGCATCAAATTCGACATCTTTTCACTGTTAAGGCTTACTTCGTTCCTTGTGCCGGTGTCGCTTTCTTGATATGGGCACTTGTTCGCGCCGGAGGCCCGGGTCCTATTGTTCGACAACGCGCAACGATAGAAGGTAGTGAACTTGCATGGCAGTTTATTAAGGGTGTTATGAGTTCAATCGCCAACTTCGCGACACTCATTGTAAACGACCCCGATTTCTCTCGTTTCTCCACTAAGCCTCGTGATGCTCTTTGGTCGCAACTTTTTACCATCCCTATTGGTTTCGCCATCACCTCCTTGATCGGTATATTGGTCTCATCTAGCTCGATTATCATCTACCCTGGGAGCGAGCCGATCTGGGATCCCCTTGACCTACTAGAGAGATTTATCGACGATGGTGGTTCCGGCCAACGTTTTGGCGTCTTTGTTATCTCTTTCGCTTTTGCCCTGGCTCAATTGGGTACAAATATCGCAGCGAATTCAGTTTCAGCGGGAACTGATATGACGGCACTACTTCCGCGGTTCATCAACATTCGCCGTGGTGGTTATATCTGTGCTATTGTTGGCTTAGCCATGTGCCCTTACACCTTGCTCACATCGAGTAATCAGTTTACTACCTATCTTTCATCTTATTCGGTCTTTCTTAGCTCAATCGCAGGCGTTATGTGCAGCGATTACTACTTAGTCCGAAGAGGCTATCTCGAAATCAGGGAACTTTACGACGCTCGCAAGACAGGACCATACTACTTTGCTTACGGCTTTCACTGGAGAGCTTATGCCGCATATATCAGTGGCATTCTCATCAATGTGGTTGGATTTGCCGGAGCGGTAAATGGCGGCAATGCTCCTATAGGAGCAACTTATATCTATAATTTCAACTTCTTCTGTGGATTTATTATTTCTGGGGTGATGTACTGGGCCTTATGCAAGCTGTTCCCCGTACCAGCCTGCAGCGATACATGGATGGAAGTGGGCGACCAGATTAGTGGTGAGGTCAGACTTGCCTACGACCACAGTAGTAGTCAACAAGAAGAGTTTGATGAGGAGGCAGATATCGGTAATAAGTACGACAAGAATCATCAAAAAACCGTATGATAGGGGTTATCGGGGAGGGTTATGAAGCTTTTGATTTTGGACATAAAAGGGTTTGATATGTAGTTAGCAATATTACAGCGGTTATCTACCGCTTCAGGGAAAAATAAATTATTATTTACCCCTCTGAAAAAAGTTTGCACGTAACATTTCGGCTTGCACGTCCGTCGGAACCATATTCAGATAGTTCATACGGTCCCAAGTTTCTTGTATGTGAGGTTACCTGTACCTGTATTACATTACATGTATTCGTGCAGGTGCAGGTGGTTAGCGAAGTTCTTTTGTGCTTTTGAAGAAAAATAACCGCTAAATACATATTATGCACGGATCGCATACGGCCGTTCCCCTTTCAAGACACTTGGACCAATCGTAACCGTTTGCGATCATCTGCACTTAGGCAGGTACAGTGCTGCCTCACCTTCCAGCTACATGCTAACTACCGGTACGTTCCTAACCTAGCAGCTGCCTAGACACGGGCACCTACGTACCTACCTCTGCAGTCTTCTGCAGTCCTCTTGCAGTATCAACCCCCATTCTGCCTGGAAAGCTGAAAGTGATGAAGGTGCAAACAACTTAAAAAAACAAAACAGTTTCATTTCTAAATTCATTCCCGTTCTTCCCGTCTTTCTTATTTCTAAATATCAATTCAGGGCAAGCAATTCAATCAAGTCATCTTACATATTTGTTCAGTTGTTCTACCCCTCTCGCTTGTCCAATTACCACCACCGTTACCTATCACCTATCGACCATTAATTCACATCCCGCCCCCAATTTCTTAATTTCCCAATTTGTCAACACTACGATATCACGACCATAGGTTTCGGATTATGGAGGTTGACAATATGAGTCCCTTATTAGATATTCCTCTTGAAGTACTTCTCCAGATAACTTCCTACCTTACAACTTCGGATTATGGAAATCTTCGCCATGTTTGTCGGCGACTGGAGGAGTCTCTCCTTCAGTCATTCACCCACGAGTTCTTCACGAAGAGGCAGTTCATGATTAGCGAATTCAGCCTTGGCGCACTCGTAGACATCTCTAAGTCTAGATTCGCGCCTAGCCTTTCCCATCTGATCATTAGCATTGAGCGTCCTCCTATACCACCTAGTCTACCAGTTCACATGCAGGTCTTTTCCGATGTTGAACAAGCACTGCGGTATAATAAGATGCGTGAAGAACACATGAGCCATCAAGCCTTAATCACCACAGGTCGAGACCTCCAACTTCTCACTGAAGCTCTTTGCAATCTACCCAACCTCAAAACAATCGGACTACGTGACTTCAACTCCTCTGGCCGATATCGCGATGGGGCAGACAATACCTGGCACGCCTATGGGGCCCCAACATTCCTCTGGGAGACAAACTATCCTCTTGATCAACCACGATTTGGAGGTCGCCATCTTGACTCTAGCTTGGTAGAATCACGTATACAATACGTTTCCCACGTATTCTTGACCATGCTTCGAGCCCTAGGCAAGGCTAAAGAAACACATAGCCCTACTCAGCTGGAGGTAATCCTTAGAAACTGTCATCTCCCGAGTTTGGCATTCAACGTGCCTCGTTATCTTGAATCGACGATTACACCCTTTCTCAAAGACCTCAAGACGCTCTTCCTAGATCTGGGACCTGCGTCATTTTCTACCCTAGTTATTAACAACGGGGGAAATTACCAGGGCTATCTTGGCCTCACTCTTGTGACATTCCTGTCGAAGACGACATCTTTAGAACACTTGAGATTGAATTTCCGGAGCTGCGCTAAAGATGAAACGAGGGACCTTCTCCAGTGGTTGATTCGTACGCCTGAGTCCCCGGGTGGCTCAAAACACCAAGGGATTGAGGTGCATAATATGCAAGAAAAACTACCTCGAATACCGCAGACCCCTGCATTTCAGCATCTAGAGGAGCTTGAAATTGGAATGATAACTATCGAGCCGTCTCTCCTTCTCAGCATTTACAAGAGGTTTAAGCCAAGTCTACGCATAATCTCTCTGCACAAGGTCACCTTCTCTATTGAATCACAAAACCAGGTTGCGGATAGGGTCAACCTTTGGGCTTCATTCTTCGGACAGATGGCGAAACTCAAATTCAACCTCACCGTCATACGACTCTCCTTCTTAAAACAGATACATTTGATGTCCCCGTATTCGATAGAATTCAAAGATAAGAACCACACTTCAAGTGATCCAATCTCCGGTACAGAATGGAAAGGCAATGACTGTATGTTTATTATCTCTTATGCTTTGGGTGTCCCTAAGACTGCTTACGGGAATACCGAAAAAGCAAGCAATGGCTAACTCTAAATCTCATAGTCGAGCGTTCTTCGGGAGAATTGATTGACTCAATGTCTGTTAATTGGCCTCCTGACCAGGATATGCAGGAGGACAGCAATACTTCACCATCCGAAGGTATGTATTAGTATCACCAATTCACTAAGTATCATAGGTATTGGCAATTTGCTAATTTTAAAACACAGATGATGATGATGATATTGATGACGAGTAGAGCTCTTTCGATAGTATCGATGATTTCTAGAGGAGTCCGAAGTGGTGGGTATCTAATAATGGACTTCAAGATATTTTCTCTACTCTAGTTTACGATGCGTTGTCTATACATTTGGACTCGTGGAAGCAATCCCTGGATCACCGAATGGAAGAAATGGACATCAAGAGGTGGCATCTTTGCTTAATTGAACTCTCTATGACTCTATATAGACAATAAAATCCCCCATGGGATGCTAATGCGACATGTATTTAACTCTAAACGCTCTTGTCAAAAAAGTCAAGGATTTTCGCGTATGTCGCCTGCGCGGTATACTCCTATTCATAGGTAGTCAGCACCAATCCGGTGACTTTTCATGATAGAGAATGAATGCTTACCAAGTTTAGGCCGTGGCCAGCACCGGGAACAACGAAAGCCTCGAAATGACTCGTATTAGTGAAGGATTTACCCGTCTGTTCAGGGATGCTGGGCTCGGTCACGTAACAGTTGCCTCCGCAGAATGCATCATCGCGTTCTATAATAGAATAACTAGCAGTTAGCTTTCCGAATATATTATGACTAGACGGACTCGGTAAATAAGAATTCATCTCACCTCCCGTGATAACGAATACAGGTCCCGCAAAGCTGTTATTCATAGTCGTCAGGCCACCAATAGTCAACAGCTCACCGACGGCGATGGGCGCATTCGCCTCATAGGCTGCTTCTAGGATCTCAGGGTCAAAGTTATCCGGGCCGAAGAAATTAGATTGCACGGCCGAGACGTCGCCGCACGTAATATACCCAGGTCCGTAGCCAGCCCCCGCCAGCACGAAGTTGCCCCCGAACAGAAAGTTCGCCACGTACGCCGACAGCCCCTGGCTAAACCCGGTCAGCGCGATGGCGTCCGAGGTGCCGTCGTCAGGGTGGGCGGCTACCAGGCCGTAGGTCTGCGCGGACCCGTAGCTGTGGCCGACGTGCACGATGCGCTCGTAGCGAGCGCGGACGCCGCGGATGCTGCCGCGGCGTAGCTTCGTGGTTAGTGCGTACAAGGCGGATAGCTCGAGGTTGGATTGGATTTCGGCGACGGTGTCGCCGTGGCTGGATTGTCCGATGCCGGGGCGGTCGAAGAAGAATACGCTGTAGTTACGCGCTAGGGCTGCGTTCGCGTAGCTGTAGTTGAAGGCGTGGGCGGGGAAGTCCCAGTATGTTCGGTCGAAGGAGGCGCCGTCTGGGGTTGGGGGGAGAGGGGGGTTAGTATACATAGGTTTGCTTGGAGTTGGGGTTGGGTTTGGAGCTCTTGTTGCTGGGGGAGAATCTAGTGTGGCTCTATAGGAAGAAAGGTCTAGGGGGTTTGCTTACTGCGAGGTGTTAGTTAGATATTGCGGATGAGGAGGGTTTAGGGGTGGGTTTCTACACATATTGGTATACATACCGAGTGAGAATCTGCAGCGCGCGGCCTGGACCTGCGTCCGGCTCGCAGTAGGTTGCGGCGATGGAGTAGTTGCCCGTCACAGTTTGGTACTAGTAAAGAGTAAATTAGTTAGAAGTTTACCCCTTTCACCTATACTTGTCATAGAAACGTGTAGTGTCTGGGCAAGGGTGATGCTGGAGGGATGGAGCCGACGCTGCTCACCTTGTTCTCGCTTAGTATCTCGTCAGCGTAGTTAATGCCTGCTCGACCAGAGTTCAAGACGAAGTTGGTCACTTCGATATCGTTGGTCGGCGGCTTAAGCGTGAAGGCCATGTTCTGCGCGGAGAGCGAGAGGGGGATCGTCAGGTTCTTGCAGTTGCGCGCTGAGACCACGGCTGCGAGGCTCGCTACAAGGAGACTGGATAGAATTGCTGGGGCCATTTTGAATTCGATTGTTCTGTTATTAAACTTGAAGCTGAAGCTGAAGACTTTACTGGTGAAGCTATGTCGTTCATCATAAGAGAGAGAGATGAACCAGCCCGTTCTTATACAGTTAACCCAAAGACCCGGATATCCCTATTGAAAAGAAATATCAATGCAATTCCAAATACACCACCGTGGCGCGGTGAACTTCATTCTCCCCCCCCCCCCCACCGAGTCAACGTGATGATATTCCCGTCCTCTAATCACTGTGGTCCGTCAGATATCTAACGTGGAGCCCCTTGACAACGACTGGGTCAGCCCTAACTGGAGCTGCGCCGCCGCAAGTGGCGCGGGTAATCACCGTCGTCATCCCTCCCCAGCAGAAGAAGAGCAATTCCAAATCTTTCCCATGGGCAGTGGGGAAATGAAATTTGACATGTCCTAAGCTAAAGCTAAGCTAAGCCAAGCCAAGTCAGAGCCTTGTTTTGCGGTCAACTATTAACATCTATCACCATACTCCGTCCGTCCGTTATTGTGTTCAAATCTGTATTACCCGGGGCGGTAACTAGGTCTCCTCAGCCAGCGAATTTTACACAAGTCCTATCGGGAATTAGTTGAAGATGCAACACGCTGATACGATTGAAAGAAAGAAAGCAAAATGTCAACTCGACCGTACATTAGAGAATCAATGTCACATGTGTTGACTTGTCACTATGTCGTATAATATGCCGACTCTTCATTCATCAGTGCCAAGACCAATAATCTTAGGAGTTCCGTTCTCCGCTCCGCGAATACGGAGGATAATGAAGATCGTTCCTAATATGGCGGTAGAGCACAGTAGTATGGGGGGTGATATTGATCTTGCGGTTTGCTCGGTTTGCTCGGTATGCGAGATCATCTATACCTATTGTTCCTCTCCCTATTATGCCCCTAATTAGAGGGACATCGTTTACTTTCAGTTCCCCGGTTTAACTTTTTAACTCCAGGCATGTTTCTATTCCACTATTAGCCAGTTAATATCCTAAGATTCAAGAGTGTAGCAGTTCAGAGTATTAATTGTTTTGTCACTTCACCCATCTCTCGTAGTGTAAATATATTGTAGTACAGCCTGTTCTAGATTAATCGCTGACTACGTGTTCAGCCCCTACGTATTCAAATTAGCGTAATAATATTACAACACAGACGTAGATGTAGATGGCTTTATCACAAGTATAAGGAGAGATAATTATTAGGATATACTAAGATGAGATTTGCGTAAGTCAGACCTACACTCACTCTCCCACCTCACATATTTGGTTATACTGACCTGCGTTATTCTAGCTAGTTGTTCATAAAAACTCAAAACGATCTATTTTGCACACCGAGGCGCTGACATGTTGTTGATCCCATTATAAAATGCAGTTATCTATTGGTTGTGCTGTCGACTCCCCCTATGGGTCTGGAACACACCATAATGCTACCGACCAGATACGAACATAACGCCAAACAGATAATAAGGTCGGTTTCGATATATCGCTTCGTCATTTCGACGGTGGCGGGTTGGATAATAATTTTACCACTCTCTAGCCCGCGTCTATTTTGATTCGTGTCCGTTAACGCCATTCGTCCCATTGCTCGAAGCAGCTGTCTCAGACACCGCCTTCTCCAACGCCTGCTGCACATCACGAAGCAAATCTTCTGGCTCCTCTATACCGCAGCTCACACGCACGAGGTCGTCAAAAACGCCTACGGCCTCTCGCTGTTCTCGGGGGATACCGGCGTGCGTCATTGCGCTCGGTAGTTCGACCAGACTCTCGATGCCACCTAAACTCTCAGCCAGCGTGAAGATCTTGGTCAGCTGGCAGAACCGTTCAGCCGCGGCTCGGCCTCCCTTGATGCGGAACGAAAGCATACCGCCGCCCATACCCTCTCGGTGCTGTTTTAAAGCAATATGTCTGTGTGGGTGAGAGTCTAGACCAGGGTAATTTACAGAAATTACGTGGGGGCTAGCCTCTAGGGCTCTCGCGACAGTCGTAGCGTTGCCACTTGACTGTCTCACTCGCAAGTGTAGCGTCTTGACTCCTCGGTGGGCAAGCCAGGAGTCAAAGGCCGACGGTACAGCGCCGCCGGCATTCTGTAGGAAGGCTATACGTTCACGTAATTCATCCGAGTTGAAAGCGGCCAGTCCCATAACAACGTCGCTGTGTCCATTGATGTACTTGGTGACACTGTGAACGACGATATCGGCGCCGTGGTCGAGGGGATTCTGGACGTAGGGGCTAAGGAAGGTATTGTCAACGACAACTGCGACGCCTCGCGAATGGGCTGCGTTGACGACGGCCCTAATATCTACAAGGCGCAATGTAGGATTGCTAGGCGACTCGATCCATACTAATTTGGTGTTGTCGCGGATGTGCGCTGCAATATCGACCTCGATCTGGGGAGTGAAGGTAACAGTAACACCATGGGCCTTAGCGACCCGGGTGAAATACCGATGGGTGCCGCCGTAGACATCACTGACGCTGATGACGTGGGAACCCTGAGCCAAGCTCTGGAGAATGGTAGCAGTAGCAGCGCTTCCGCTACTGAAGGCGAGTGCATATTTGGCATGTTCCAACGCGGCTACAGCTTGCTCGAAGTTATCACGGTTGGGATTGGAGCTGCGCGAGTATTCGTATAAGCCGACTGGCTTTCCGGCAGCAGTCTGCGCGAAAGTAGTAGATAGAGAGATGGGCTCGATGACGGCGCCGGTTGTAGGATCGTGGGGGGCACCGGCATGAACAGCAAGGGTTCCGAAGCCGTGGACAGGGGACGGTGCCCGCGGAGGGGTCTCGATGATGTGATCAATAGGAACCGTCATTGTTGCGTTTGTGTGAGTTTTGTGCTGAGTGGGATATATAAATGATTCGTCAATATCGTCGTTATCCAGCCAATTGTTTCTTCCACCAAGTAACACTTCCTAAAGAAATAAATTCTTTTTTTTTTTTGTGATAAGTCTAGTCTAACACCTCTTTTTTTTTCCTTTCCCTTTTTTGACGAGCTTCTTGTCAGGTCTTTAATGGTCGAGACCCGAAACGAAAAAGAGTGGAAATGGCTAATTTAGGCCTTTTTTCTCTATTTCTATTTTTGGGGGATGGTGTAATGTACCTGGGACTACTTTGGATTAAATAAATAAGTAAAAAATTAAATAAGAAGACTTTTATCTACCGACAACCGCTTGAGCAGAGTAGGATTTTATAAGAAATCAAAGTTTAGATTAAGACCGAGCTTAGACAATCAGCTTGAATAATTAGCTTAGACATTGTTAGCTACAAGTGACGGTGAAGAAAAGCTCTGTTACGGCATTTGACCCTTGGTTTAGACCATTTTGTTTTGTCATCATCATTATTCTATTTTCTATTCCGAACTTCGTCATTTGACAGCGGGATGATGAGATCCACCCGGCTCGGAGTCTTTATTAATCAATTGCGCTGGTTGTTTGCTTCCGACTGCCGAAGGACCCCGGTTTGTTACCATTCGAGGTATTTATTAGGTATTAGTTACGTTAGGTTAGATTATGTACCTAACATTTTCCTACTCCACCGAGTTTATACACTACCTAACCTCATATCCTTTTTTTTTTAAAACCTACCTATATTTATATTTATATTAAAACATACGGCATAATATTAATAAAAATCCATACAATCTCAGTTTATGTCCAAAGTTCCCCGATCAACTTATACATTAATCACAATAATGATCTAGAGCTACTTGACTCTTGACTTACATGGTACAACGCCACCATCGCAAACTAGCACAGACCGACAGCCGTCTTATCAATGTCACCTTCTTTACAAAGCTCATAGTATAAAAGACTATTCTGGAAATACTTTGAAATACTGGGAAACTGGGATTACTAACTGCCTATAATAGTAAGAACATATAAGCTATCTTATATAACGCAATCACCTGAGAATGGGTTTGCGCTGTTTAGATACTTGTTGCAATAGGCGCAAATAGAGCCTGTGTAATAAATTTCCCGCTTGTCTACTACGGACACGTCATATATCTCAATCGTTCAAGATTTCCTAATCCATAGGTACTCACAAATATCCCGCAAAGTTCTACGTTATGTTGTCAAACCCAGCCAGGGGTTCTCAACTGTAGAAGTACGGAGTTGATATAATATACCCCCCTATTTCAAGAAAGCGCCGAAACTAGGGCTCTAGCACGCCGTGCCCGCATTTTTCTAGAGCTACTACCATCTCCGACTCCTGGAATATCCTTCGGGGGTGTCGGATCTTCGTTTTGAAGTTTCTGGCCCTTGTTCGGAGGGCCGTTAAAGTCCCCGGCACTGCAAGCATCACTGATGCCATCGCACTTGCTCTCCCAAACTCGACAGTTAGCACTCCCCGTCGGGGGTGCCGAGTTGTAGCAATCCTTAGCCTGATTCCAACATTCCTCGGATGCCTTCCAGCACCTGTCCTCAGTCGAGTAGGAGGATACTTCCACTCCAACCCAATTTGCGTTCTTGATGAGGTAGTTCGAAGGGATATTGCCCTCGGTCTGCTTTAGCGCCTTGGATGAGGTTGAGGTCGAGGTAAAAGTCGCCATGCCTTTGGGTTTTCCGGGCTTGTAGACCTTTGGTCCAGGCATTGGATACGGGAATTGCGGCTGGTAGATGTTGAAGGATACCGCAGGCTCGCCAACCTGGACGTAGCCTGGTATACTAACGCTGTACTCCTTAGGTACATCAAGAGCTGCCGTGTTTCCGCTGTTGATAAACACCTGCGCACATCCCGTGTAGAATTGCGGATCGCCCTTATCTGCCTCGTGAAGGGCCAAAAGTTCGGGCCTGAAGAGCCAGGAACCACCAGGAAGTGAGTCTGGAATGTCAATGGACATTAAGCCATTGTTATCAATCAGCTTCTCCGTGCACCACTTGCCACTTGACTCATCATAACCTTCTTCCCACTACGTACAGGGTTAGAAGAGAGCTATATCTAAATAGAATGGGGTACTTTTGAGCTTTAGGCCTCATAAGAATATCAAAGTGAGGAGTTACTACAACTCTGCGGTAGGGTATAAATATTTTAAGAGAACGCTTACGAGTTTGATCCAGCCAGGGCCAGCAGCGGAGTCTGTTGCCATGTCTTTCACCTGTTTAGCATATACGGCACAAGGCCCCTAAGTTCTCAAAGTAAGCATAGTTCAACATCAGTGACCATCGCAGATACAATATACCTTATGTGATTTATCTATAGATCCGGGTTGCTCAGCATCAGCCCATGTCCGCCACTCGAAGGTTAGTTTTCCACCGGCTGGTGCGGGGCAAGTGAAAGCAACAGATTTCTCGCCATCGACGCCTAATCAATAGTTAGCCGGGTGGTATGGTTATTTGAGAGGTCAATAACCTACCGCAGGCCATATCATCGCTGTCTAAGCCAGCTATTGGGGAGGTACAGTGTTGGGGATCCATGCTCATTCTAACACAGGTCCCATCTCCTTGGGAGACATCATTGATAAAAAGTGTCGTAAATATGGTGTGTGCGTTTGCTACCGTAGGGAGAACAGTGGCTATAACCACGAGAAAGGAGGGGGAGCACTTCATCTTGAAGAATAAATCAACGACACTGATGGTTTCTTTTTTCCCTTTCTTTTAAATAAAGGGAGGCGATACTCAAGCTCCAGGCGAATCAGAAAGAAATAAACTAGCTCAGCTAAGAAAACGAATGTATATAATGCCCCTTTGGACTTGAAGTATATTTGGATCAGAGAATGAACATATCGACGAGAATCGAAGAATGAGTGACTGAAGCGAACATGTAAGCAATAGAAAATGAGTATCTCTATTCATATATAGATACCCCCAGCATCAGACGGAAGCAGGAGACGAAAAAGATATATTCCTATCTTGTAAAGCAAACAAACTGAGGGAAAGGTTCTAAATTACCTATAAATTGCCTGTACACCGAAGGAAATTTTTACAATATGACACATCAAATCACATCTAAGCAATTATACATTCGCAAAAAAGCATGATTCGAGGATAATTCGCCAGCTTCCCTTTCAGCTACACACCCAGCCAAGCGTCTTCCGCCCTCAAAGGCGCTTCGCATCTAACGACGAATAGGAACGCTAGAGCGGGTGTTTGTAAGTGGCCACGATCTCCTCAGGGGTGAGACCCAAAGCTGCCATGGACCCTGATTCCCTGGTCTCAGATACAGTGCAACGGTACCACGCGAAATGACGTTGTTGGAATCCGGGGAATTGGCTGAATTAGACGAGGTACGGTTTGATGCAAGGGGTGGGAGGCTGCATTAATACGTATACCTTAGGTATATAGTAACCAATCACCCGGAACGCACCGAATGAAGCTGAAACGTGTTCATCCCAGCTTCTTTAGTCCTCTCGTGGAAATTTTATTATAAATGGTGGAAGAAACGAAACATGCCGAAAATGCATCCGAATGTAAGCCCCTGGCGTTTGCATGCGGGCTTTTCCGAGGCGCTTGTGCACCGTGGTTTGCATCTTGGCTGCCCCCTTTCAAGATAGATTACGAAAGTGGCAGGTATATATTAGTCAATCATCCGACCGTCCTACTCATCTCTATGCAATTTATATGTCTAGAAAATGCCATGGTTCGACTTGTCTTAACGAGGGATCGCTGTTTGATGACTGGGTAGGTGTAGATTAAATAATTAAGTATTAGCCACCTTATTCGTAATTTGAAATTTAAGATGGCGTGAGTTCTAGCTTCCAAAGGTATTAGTCTTGTCAAAGATGATAATACTAAACTTGGTGTTTAATTTCAAGGACTCAAATCACTGCTATTTCAACTATGTGACTATTCCCTATTGCCCGCGAGCACTCATCCTAGACTTCGTAAACTAGCCTGACGGCTCTCATAATCATAATGATGTCGTGACAGGCATAGACATATACCAAACAGTGTTTCAACGGAATTTCTACAGGTCAGATAGCCCCTCGAAGAGAAATCTTCCTTTCAGAGACAAGGAGCCCTATCGCTCATCCGTGCCTATTTCAATCACGGATGAAAAACTAGACTGATCACATCGAATGGCTGTAGGTACTAGGGGAAACACTCGCAATTGCTATCCATATCATTTCATGAATAGATAGTCACTAGTTCCTAAAGAACATATTTCGGAGGGAAGAGTGGAGATTAACTGCACCTCAAAACCGCAAAAGTTGAGCCTCTTAGACTAGATAGGCACTACCCTACGATCCGCGAAGACGCCTTTTCCCACCCGGCCGCCCAATAACGTTGCGCTATGCAAAGCTTGACCCGACCCGAGCTCTTTTTATGCCTCCTGTTGTACATACATGCCTATGGTACATCGGTGTCATCAGTCGTGGGTATCGTTATAATTACTCGTTGATCTTGGCCAGAATCCTAGAAAGTATTGTCAGTACTTAATGTATTGATGCGTCGCCTTCGAGGATAAGTGCGTGCTGTGACTTACTCGCTGTCGCGGAAGAGGTGGAATTCCTCGTCGCCGACCTTGACGGGGGAACCGCCGTACTGGATATGCATGTTAGCTAAATTTCCCGTAAATACGTAGAGGGAAGCGCAAGGGTTCTCCTATCGACCCGAGCCCATAGACTTTTCTTAACTTACCTGAGGGATCAACACCCGGTCTCCCGTCTGCACACCCATAGCTAAGCGTTGGCCGTCCTTGTTCAACGCGCCGGGTCCGACAGCTAGAACTTTGCCTTCGTTGAGCTCCTTCACGCTGGACTCGGGCAGGAAGATGCCGCTGGCGGTCTTAGTTTCGGCCTTGATTCGCTGGACCAACACACGGTCCAGGAGAGGGACGAGGGACTTAATCGATCGAATAGCGGTGGCCTACGATGTTTACATGTTAGTTAAGCTTCGTAGGAATAAACGAGCAGAGCAAAAAAAATTTAAGGCGAGCGTGGGGGGTGACGGGTGCGAGATTGCAAAGCGCACGTCATAGCACGATGCAATAATTTAGAAATCGAGCATACCATTGTGATGTATATACAGGGAGAAATTCGTGAATTCGAAAGGGTAGGATTTTTTTTTCTGGACGAACTGCAACGAATTGGGAGCTCGAAGATCTAAATTTGAAGCTATCGCAAGTGGTGGATGGATCTTTGGAAGGCTTTAGAAGCTTCAAGTGGCCAATAGACCTAAACTTTTTTTATTCCTCGGTTTTTCCGAATGCCGGGGCTACCTTTGCCTAGAACCCGTCTATCCGGGGCCAGCCGGATCCTTGCGTACATCATCCCGATCGATTTGTTATGTAAGCCACATCAGGTATATGTCCATTATAGATAACTCTTATAAAATTACCTATATTAGTACGTCTTTATACATCTTTATACACATATAAAGCATGTAAACAATAAACAATTAGAAATGTGTCCTAATAGGAATTGAATTGAATTTACATCTATTAGTACCTAAGCTATGCCGCGGTCCGCCAACGGCACGGTCGTAAAATGGACAAGAACCTTATCTACCCAAACCTCTATACGCAATATGTAGCATATACTCTAAGTTCTATACCGCTATGAACCTGAATGGTTTGCACCCTCCCGCTTTGCCGTTGATGACCCCGAAGCTATATGACCCCGTAAACGCCGCTTTCGGGAACTTACTGTTCCCTCCTACGCCAAAAATGTCGCAATATGCGTTTAATAGTCCGCCCAAACACACCCCGGCGTTTCTACTTACTTGGTGGTGCCGGCGGCTCAAGGACATGTGAATGATCGTCCGCATGGATGACTTGTCCGTGGTCAACCTGCCTGCAGATAACCGTGTCTGAAACCCAAGGTTCATCAAGTATCTCAGGCATTTGAGCGCGTTTTTTGGGATCGATCGTCAACATTCTCCCAATAATATGTCTACTTTCTCTAGGAAGTAACCTCAACAGACGCCACGGGCCCTTAATGACCTCTTTCTTTTCCTGGGTGCTAGTACCGTTACTACTAGCAGTAGAGGGTTCGTTCGCCTTAGAGCTTTGCTGCTTTGTATCATCTTCCGCAAAAATGTCACGTTGTGGGATATTCGAGAGATCGTTCGTGGATCTCGAAGGAAGGATCAGCTTCTTAGGATCGTGGCCAGGTGATGGATCTGCTGCAAAGAGCTTATACGAATTATCCGATAAGCGCGGGACCTTCCAGGGGAACCTTCGAAGTGACATGCAGCAGTAGATGATCGCAAGGGACCAGATATCCACCGCCTGAGGGTCATACTTGCGCTCATCGTAAACTTCTGGAGCGAGGTAGGGATCCGACCCAACAACACCTGGTGGCTTGTTAGAGATCGTAAAAATATTTAACTGCATGGGCGATATCTGACTTACCAGAAGCAAGGACGATTTCGGTCTCGAAAGGATATCTGAAAACATGAGCACTACCAAAGTCAATGATTTTCATAATACCATGCTGGCTAACGACAACATTATCCAATTTCAAATCCCGATGAGCGAGGCCGGAACTGTGAAGATAGGTTACTCCACTCAGTATTTGTAGAAAACAACATGTTATCTCCGCCTTAGACATCTTTCCGGTCATAACAATGGCAAAAAGATCGAATGGGGCGTATTCCATGACTTCGTACCATTTCCCCTTCTCTTGGACAATGTCGAGCGTCTCGATAATGTTACCATGATGTAAGGCAGATCCGATACAGAATTCGGCTGTCAATTTCTTGACATATTCCTTTTCAGTTTCATACGAATGCCGAGGGCGAAATTCTTTCACCGCAAATACGGTATTGTCTTCGGTTCTCTTCATAAGTTTGACAGAACCTCCAGCGCCGGATCCAAGCACTCGGCCAAGCTTCCCATACTTGGATGAGAGGCCATGATCATCGGCGAATGGGACCTGGTAGGCCGGCTTAGATCCCAAAGGAGATGGTGATGCGGGCTTCTTGGGCTTGTGATTGACACCCACTTTAAAAAACCGCTTCAGATCAGACATAGATCCGTGTGCACTATGTGTTGTTGAACCAGATCCTGTCGGATGAAGGTCAACCGACTTATTTTTATTTGCGAAAAGTCCAGAGTGTCTTTTTTCTTGCTTATCTGTCCTCGTTAAGTTTGTTGACGAAGCAGAGGGTGAGGCAAGTTTCTTCTTCCTGGAGAAGACAAATCGCTGGTCAATGTTGCCACCTGCTTTGTTCTGCATCGGTCGTTTACTTGCAGCATACGGATCGTTGACATCGCCGTGAGGAGTAAAGGGTCGCGAATAATACTGAGATGCGGCATTTCTCGAGGGACTCGATTCTCTGGACACAGGTAGAGACTGGCCTCCGGGTCCAATACTAAAAATTCCCTTTCGATGCGAGCGGACACCGCCATCGTTATCGTCTACAGCAGTCGACCGTTGAGATATGTTGTCGGTAGAGGCAGGTCGGTGCGGTAGACCCATTCGAGGAGATACCGGTCTTGAATCTTGTCCCGATGCTTGTGGTGTTATCGCTTGGGAGTCGTACCCGCCATCAGAACTAGCAATTCGCACGGACTTTGCGTTCCGTGTAGAAGATTCCGCTGCGGAAGTCCCAGCTGGCGTAAGTGGTGGTGATACCAACTCGGGAGCTTTAGGGCTCAATCGGGGCGATGGATGGCCCATGGGGCTATGGCTATGCTGCGGAGTTGCGCCGGGAGTAGTCTCGTTAGACGCAACCTAAATGAAGACATACTGTTAGTTATAAGAGGACCCCATAGAGCCAGATCTAATAAAACCGTATAATTGTTGTCGGGACCACATGTATACTAAGGCGCCAGTGCTTGCTTTAGTCTGGGACGGGAAATGAGGCGCGGCGGTGAATAATATAAAGGAGAATTTCATCCGAATTTTGCAACCATTATTGGGGACGAGCGAATATCATATAAAAAAATAAATTGAGAGCAAATGGTAAATAGCGTACCCTAGAAGGCGGAAGGGAGACTGGATCAAACGAATAATTCATCAATCGCTGCTCTTGGAGCTGGGCGCCATGGATAGAATTGGTCAGAGCTCGTATTATATCAGGATTAGCAGAGCTCTCCCTTCGGGCTTCCGGACTACCGAAGGTCGAGACTGGAGGATCGATTTCGTCAACTATCGATGAGAAGCGTACCGATGCGCGCTCTGAGGGCTTTATGATGGCATCGGTACGTTCGGATACATCGTTGGAGCTGTCTAGTAGGTTGAAAATATACATAGTTAGCTATTAAGCTATTGACACTTGATTTTAAAGATAAGACATGGTAGAGAATGTCTATTGGCCAGTTTATAAAGAGAAAATATCGTGATTACCTTGCGACGGCTCCAGTGGGTGGCGATCATCAGCATCGCTCGGGGTTGTCATGGCAATCGAGATACCGAGAAGCTGGATAACAATAGAATCCGAATGCTAAGATATAAAGAGCTACTAGCAAGCTGGGCCGAGGGATGGCCCCCAAGAGGTAATGTGAATTAATAGGTAAGAGAGCGATCAGATCAAATGAAGAATAGTAAAAAAAGAAAAAGGAAGAAAAAAAAGCTAAGTGATGATGATATGATGTGCCAGACCTTGTAAAAGGTCTAAAAGATCTCTCTCAAAACTTGTGGGAGAACTGACTTATGTCCATCATGGTGGGGCAATTTCTTAAAGTACGTAGTTGCACGTAGTATGTACGAATACCTACTATGTATTCGTAGTATGGAAAGTGTATGTAGAAGGTAGCTGCTCTCCGCTCTCCGCTCTACGCTGCCCACTTGCCCACTTTCCCACTTGTTCGGCAAGAACGAACTTTTGATCCAATTTTTTACCTAAGAATCTAAGATATGGGGGACGTGATAGGACTTTGTGCGACTTGGAATGATTAAAGTGACTTAAAGTGACCAAAGTAATCATAAGTGAATTAAATCGTTAGGTATGGATTTCAATAATATGTACTGTACATGTGTAGAGTAGATAGCCGTCTCAACCGGGTTGATCTATAGAGGATTTGAGGATCTTACGGCTCGATTTGCATATACCAATCCGGCTATTTGGCAACGAATTTAAAGTAAACCCGGTACAGTACTTTTAAGTACTTTGCTTTAAGTACTTTTTGGGCTCTCTTACCTCGGCGCTTTACCCGGAGTGCACCAGAGGCAGTTCCGGGTTGGTAGAAAGAAAGATTGAAGAGTCACTAGAGGTTTGAGAGTGGACCATGTGGGGTCTCTCATGAATCCCTGTTGGGTGGGGACCAAAAAGGTTTCTATCCGTTTGCGTCTAGATGTCGTAGAGAGATTTAGCAACATAATAGGTCGGGAAGTAGGCTGACAAATGACAAACGATCCCATAATCACCAGGATATCCCAAAATGGTAGAATGACCAACAGGAAAAAAGATGAAAAAAAATTTATTCAACACTCTCTTGACTTTCTCTCTCTCTCTCCGCTCTTCAATCATACAATCATATAATCATACATAAATCCCCCGCCTGGTTGATTGGTTGGTTAGTTAGTTACATAGTAGATTTCTCGTAGTTAAGCGATCTAAGCGGTCTAATAATAGTTCATGACTCAAACCCGATCCGTTCCATGTCACAAAATATCTTCTTCCTATTACACACATTACACATTACACATTACACCCATTATACACAAATAAATGCAGTGCTCGTGTACCAGGTTGACCAGGCTGCCAGGGTTGTCCTAAACTTTCAGTAACATCGACCTTGCATTATATGTACCCAATAACACCAATAACACCAATAACACCGATATAAAGCTATAGGTGTGCCTGGAATTGATTAGCTTGCAGGATCCCGTCCGCGGCGGGACTGTGATCTGCCATGCATTATCAGGGCCAAGATTTCTGCCAATTGCTCAAACGGTATACCCATTGCTTTGGGTCCCGACCAATACTCTTGTTGTCTATGACCTATCAGAATGTCAAAATTTGAAGACGAATCCGTTTGAGACATCTGTCCAAGCAGCACCTTTGATGGGTATGGCTACCACAAGTTCCACGAACCGGCAACGCGGTTTACTTTAGATCGTTGTTTCTCTTAAAGAACCATAGCGTGTTTAACATTGACCGTTCAGCACAATCCAAAATTTTAAATGAGGTCTAAATAGCTAACTTAAAAAAAGAAACCCCTCAGAGTCTCGGACCAAGCTTTTTTCTATTCGTACGAATACGGGATTTAAGTATGCGCGGTACGACTGACATGTTGCGCAAAGTTAGTGATATCCTTGTACTTTGTGTTAGCTTATTGCTCACATGTAAAGCTTGGCTGGCTAGGCTATTCCACGACCCACGTCGTTCTAGACATTCTAGAAGATATTTAGAAGCTAACTACCTCTATACCCGTAAAGTGTCTTGAGGGTGTACAGATTGATAATTGCTTCGATTCTTTTTAACTAACATATATATTTATATAGTTAGTTATGTAAGATAAATACTTTCTTTAATTGGTATATTATTCAATAAGATTTCTCTAAACCTGAAGATCTGGAATTTTCGCCTCATCGATGCCTCTTCAAGTTGTGTAAGCCAGACCGAGATCGCTTTATAACTTAGGTATATAACTTAGGTAGGTAGCACATTGACAACTGTCTTGGAGCACCAATACTACCCTCATACATGTAGAGAGATAGGTAATTCTAACTACTCGTCACCTAATAAGCAACCGGAGATATAATTTCTATGTAGCCCTTTTTATAGATTGTCAATTCTGGTATAGACTATTACAAAATTTTCCTGAGGAGGGAGCGACATATTAGTAGACGCTAAGATGCAGTAATACCTTATTTTTCTACGAAAGTCTCTAAGGCTCCCGATCATCGCAAGATTCGGGGGAGGCAATTTTCAACGTTTCTGCCGCATTAGGCACCACATGCAGGCGCACATCAGGGACTCTGCGTTTGATCCGTATATTTCGTGCAGTTTTGGTGATACATGCCAAAAGCTCGCTTGTACAAGCATAACAGAGGGTCCGAAATCGACAATCAACCCCGTCCCGTTCACTCTAACGCATAATGTTACAAAAGGCGACTAAATCGGGATCGCCCTCTGTTTATGCGACAACAGCAATACCCATTGACTTGGCCTGGAAAATAACGGCCCTGCAAAGACCCTCTAACGAAAGACCGGAGAGTCGTAGTTCGGTTTGCTTTATCTGGGCAATTTCGTAAATATGTTTCAGAGTAACCGTGCCTACTATTTCGTGTCCCGGCTGGCTCGCAGCTTTCCTCTTCCCCTTCTTATTGACCGGTAGGTCTGCCGCATTCCTGAGGAGCCATGAAGTCTGTGGTGTTCGAACGTCGAAATGGAATGATCTATCTGCTCGTACCGTTACTCGGGTCGGCATAGGCGTCCCTTGTATAATGTGCGCCGTTCGCGCATTGAATTCCTATATACGCATGGTTATCAATTGCAGCGCATCATATTAGCGACTAAATTTGTCTTTACCTTGCAGAAATCCATAGACTTAACACCTTTACTTCCAAGTGCAGGACCAACTGGAGGACTAGGGGCAGCTTTTCCAGCTCCCACTATGAGCTTAACCATCTGGTCAGCGCCAGAGACAGCCGAGCGCGCCTTCGACATCTTGGAACTTTCAGGCGTGAGTTATGCGAAGAAGAAATGGGCTGGTTGATCGCTAATGTTCTAGATCAAAAAAAAAAAAAATCCCCCAATTTCGTTGGTGGAAGTTCAAGAATTCTATATCAGCCACAATTGAGTTTTGAGAGCGCCTCAACCTTAATTCAAATCCGGTTTAGGTACTGTGTGGGTACATAGGTACATGTATCCATATGTAAATATAAATAGTGGAGTTTCAGGTACAGAGATACTTAAACTCTATTCGAGGACCCCGCCAAATATCGAACAGCTTGAGCTAACTTCCGTCCTCTCTCTACACTAATTAAGAGCATATCTTCCTAACGAACCACCACTTATCACCGCTCTTTTCTCCTTCTTTTCCTACCCCCTTAGTCAGCTTATATTATCTTCCTTTTCCATTTATCTATCATCAACACCTAGACAAATTATCCCGCTTTCTACATCATGTTCAACTGGGCAAAACAAACGTCAGCAGCAAATTTCCCTAGTCTCCGTACTTGACGTACTCAGCTAACCGATTGCCTAGTTTGGCTAATGTCGTGGGCACGGAAGAGCCCATCTATGGCGCTTCGGCCATAAGATCAGTCGCCGAAGATGCCAAAACGACGCCGTATACAGAGTTAACCAGAGATGACATGAAATGGGAGGCTATGGAATCGACCTGTGTCGAGAGTCAAACCTTCTATTTCATGGCGGACAGTGGTCATTTAACTTTTGCTCAGGTCATTTACAGCAATGTGGTGTATGAGTCTTCAACCGCCCAGCTGCCTCTCTATCAAGCTGACATTCCTTGAAGCGGCATCCGCACCACTTGCCAGTTCAACTGCAAGGTCTTCTACACAGACGGCACGAAACCCCTATGGAGCTCTTCGCCCTTGAGCCACGCCGAGTTTAGCGAAGATAAAACATGCTTTTTTGCCACCGACTGCGCCGTAGAACTATCCGCGGATGGGAACTCCTACACAATCAAGTCGATGAACGATCCTCAGTGTATCGTCAACCTTAAAATAACAAAGGTGGCGCCTGGCTTCGTTGTCGGCAAGAATGGCAAGTCCTTGTTCGGTACAGACCTATCTCACCCGTGGGGCTCCATGCGACATGCGTTCTGGCCAAGGTGTTCAGCTGAGGGGAGTGTCATGACAAAGAATGGACCCATCGACTTCAAAGGGAAGGCTTTCCTTTCCCACGCTCTGCAAGGCATGAAGCCTCACCATCTAGCAGCCCGGTGGAATTTCCTCAATTATCAAGGACCGACATATTCCGCAATCCTGATGGAGTTCACTACGCCACCATCGTATGGAACGACCGTCGTAGGCGTCGGCGGGATTGCCAAGGAAGGGGAGATTATCACTGCTGGACCTAACTGTGGCGCCACACACCTTAAGACGAAGCAGGACACCGAGAACGACTGGCCCGAGCCCACCGATATCAAATTTACCTGGTCCGGCACCACAAAGGACGGAAAACCCGTCGAGGCCGTTATCGAATGTGCCATGGGCGAGAGAGTTGATAGGATTGACGTCATGGCGGAAGTTCCTGGTTTCGTCAAGAAAATCGTCGCCAATGCGGCGGGAACTAAGCCATACATTTACCAAGTAAGTTTACCGAGGTAACTATAAGGAATGCGTTTCATTTCTAACTACGTGTGCAGTTTTTCCCCCATAATATTCCTACTGTGCTAAAGCTCAAGATCGGGGATCAAGAGATTACCGAAGAGGGACGGTTGTTCAGCGAAGCAACTTTCATATCCGCAACGGAGTAATTCGCTAAGGCTTAAAATGAAGCGTAATGCATATGCTTAATGCCAATAAAATGAGCAAGGCATAGCAGCAACTAGGATTGCTTTTAGAATGTGGATGCTTGGTTTAAGCGTTCTATTCCAGCAGAGAGGTTTGGCTACGCTATATTCGCTTTCCTCCAGTTAGCATACGGTCAGGATATTGCATCAGGACAAGTTAGGGATACTAGAGTTCATAGAAGTACATGATCACTGTTGAGATCCCAAGGTGTAAACTATATTCGGATTCCACCATTCGAAATCATGTACTATCTATAGGTTTTAGGTTGCATTAATAAGGATACCTCATATAAATACAATCGTTGTTCTTGGAAGTTTTACATGGGATAATAGAACGTAGCATTGAGGGTAGTTTATTGAGGAATATAAATCAAGTCAAGACGTAAGCTTACGGCAGACATATATCTATATCTATACCTTATCAACCTTAATCATTCTCTGATATATTAACTGAATGAGATATTTAATAAAAAGGCCAGGATAGTTAACTATGACTTGAAAAGAATAAGATTCGATTGCTTTCTATGTCCATAGGTAATAGCTTGAGCATATGCAAGTGAGCATACACTATTAATCACGTAATAGACGTCAAATCAATAACCGTATACGGCATGGTTTAAAACAGCAGTTAGGTAGAGGTATGTACATATGAAAACATGTGATAAGTAATTTAATACTTGAGGTGTTAAAGTGTCCTACCTTTCGTTACATCAAGGCAGTTACCCCGCTCTATATTGATATATCATTTTAAGGCGATGGTTAAGGCAACAGCTACGATGTACATATAGTGGAAGGCAACAGCGTCTTATCGATACGTATAGCTTCAGCGCTAAGATTCAAATCTCCTTACGGTTGGTTTTCCCCACGCTTAACTCTACATCTTACATGTATTGTCTCACGCGTTGCAATTCACATAGCCATAGCGCGTACCATTCTCGTTTCTGTGTCAATTATTCCAGTGGAACCATTCTGATTTCTACCTTTTTTTTCCAGTATGCCGGGGAAGGACGTTAACAGAGGAAGCAAAGGAGGTAGAGGTGGAAAGGGCCTCGGCGGGAAGGGAGTAAATTACCCTAACCTAGTTTCTAGTCTTAAACGCGATGGCGTGGACGTGCGTGCCGTGCTAACTTTGCTGTGCTTACAGGGGATCAAACGGCACCGGTATTTTAAACTATGCGTATAAGCAAGTGAGCGCTTTGTTGAAGCTAATCGTCGCATAGTAAGATACTTCGCGACAATATCCAAGGAGTTAGTAAGTGGCTAATCCATCGGGGAAATCTTAAATTTAACGGTCAACTGTCAACTGTCAACGTTTAAATGGTCGCTAATGTATAAGCCGATTTCTAGCCAAGCCTGCTATCAGGTACGTCTCTAGTTTACCTAACTCACATCCAAACGCCTCAAATCCACTCCGGCCTCATTCTTCATCTTACTACACTTCTCCTACTACATTCATCCTTATGATGAATTGAATCTAATTTCATGGCAGACGACTAGCCCGTAGAGGTGGCGTCAAGCGAATATCAGCACAGATCTACGATGAAGTGCGAGTTGCCTTGAAAGCGAGGCTCGAAGAGGTATGTATACAATAAATTTGTGTGACGTAACCCCGATTTGTTTGCTTGCATTGTACTAAACGCCGCATCCGAGGATAGATCATACGGGATTGCGTGATATACACCGAATACCGCCAAAAGAAGACGGTCACTATCAACGATGTGAGTTACTCGTCATCCTCTAAATTAGATAGCCTATCATCTTGTGATATTGGATATTGACCTTGAACTTTTCCATTGCAGGTCTTACATTCTCTGAAACGAATAGGCCGGCCCATATACGGGTTTGACGATATAAGCGGCGGACCCGTAAAAAAGCGATAAGCTCTTGAAGATTAGCTTTTGCATGAGGGACATGTTCAAGTCAAGATACAATATAATGGAAGGAAGGAATGAATAGAGTTTGCTTTTTTAATGATCTAATCGGGACTAAGGTATTGGCGTATGGATGGCTATGACATGAATTGGCTTTACTGAATTGACTTTTACCCCTGCTCTTTAAACGCAACGCATCTAGTCGGAACATTAGCTCTCAACCAAGAGGTTACAGAAATGTTACAATACGCGGTTACTCAGAACATATAAATCAAATGTCAAAGAAAGTCTCTAACCTAGAAGAAACGATTGATTATCTATAAGGCTAAGATACTCTAAACGAACGGGGGTATATTGTAACCAGATAACCGCCAAACGCCAACCGTGAACCTTGAACCCTGAACCATGAACCGACCGTTCCTGTAAACCTCTATAGTTTTCGTCTTCGCTTGCTGCCTTCCCATTCGTTTAGAACCTTTTCTAAAGCCTTTGCGGCTCTTTGTTCCTCTTTTCTAAACGGTCCATTGAAAGCTTCGGGTAGTACCATAGTGCTGTTAGCGTGTTCTTTCGCGAATCCAACCTCGGCGTCTTTGCCGCACCTTTCCCTCGTCACTTTGACAGCTTCATGAAGCATATCGGAACCGACACCCTTGTGTCGATACTTTAACTTGACCGTCCAGGCTCGGATCACGCCCTTCCCACCTTTAAGCATCGAATTTCTGTTCCGCTTCTTCCCGGCTAGACTCGGATTTGGCTCGAGCCGTAATACCAAAGCACCAATCAGATCATTCCCAAATCGCACGCCGATGACGGTGTCCTCCTCGCCATCCTCGGATACCATCCAACTCCATTTCATGCTTTCGGCTACTTGTATGTACTGGCCCGTAAAATACCGAATGGCCATTAAATAAGTCATAATCACCCCGGAATGCAACATCAGCGCCGTGCCGAGGTCTCGTTTTATGCGCCAGGAGTATTGATAAGCGATACCGAGGCTCAGTGTTAGAATAGCTAATAAGTATGGGTGGAAAATTAAATGGTACGAAGATGATTGTCGCTGCTGGGCTATCGAGTCCGTTACTAGATTCAGCGCATCTAGCTTGTTGGTTTCGCCGTCTATAGTGCCGACAGATAATGGGGGTAGATCTTGCGGTATTGGGTTGGTAGGCGGATCAACCGTCACAAGTAGTGACGGCGAAGGCGGCGGAAGCGTACTTGACGGTGCCGGCTCCATATCCGGTGTTGATATCGCAGAAGGGTTGACGACGAGATTCGCTCGTAGGAAGAAAAAGAATGCTGTTGGCCGAAGGTGCTGATCAGCTTTGCTGATGCTAATAACTCTAACTCTCCTTGTCTTACGTCCGAGTCGGATAATGGAGTTTTGCTCCCAACCTCGTCCAACTCCTGCGATGCTTTGCGACTTACAGATGCGAGGCGAAGGTTACACCATGTCACTCATGAAAAAACATGGAATGAGACGGCGGAGATTGAACTTTCAATTCGAGACAAACAGAAGACGAAGCAGTACGAAACTAACATCGAGGACAATTTATAAAATCAAGGGTATTTAAAAAGAAAAAGACTATCGTCTACTTACCTGTACTAGTCTTTAAGCCCGGCACCGCGTTCATTCTGTCCATAACGGTGCCGGGCCCATAGTAGGCATTCAGGTCTAACTCTCGTGCCACGTGCGCCATCTCGACGTTGTGTGTGGTTAGCCCAGCTTTGAGGCGGAAAATAAAAGTTTTTGTGGCCTGCTTTAGGAGTAAATATAAATATTAATTTTTACACAGTAATTAAAAAAAAGAAAAAAAAAAAGTAGGTAGGCTTTACCAGCTGCTTGGAACTCCAAGGGTCTTAGACCCTGAAAAAATAAACATAAAAACAAATGACGACAAGCTCTAATAAGCGACGGACCCGAGAAGAGGTGGAGGGGAGATAATTTGGGATTATTAATGACGACAACGTCAAGAAATAATAGGTTACGGATAAGTTGAGATGAATTGAGAATTAAACAATGAAGAGACGAAACGACAAGAAAAAAATGATTGACAAAGGGGTGCAGTCTTGGCCGGAATGCTTATATGTTTGGGACTGTCGCAAGATAGTTCGCAGATAAACCAAAAGCCGTTTCCGTTTCCCTTTTCCCTTTTCCCTATAAGGACTGCTGCACTGATGACATCGTCCCGCGGGGAACGCTCGTTACCAGTCGATCACCCGGTGGTTATCTGATAAGAGTTGAATAGACGAATGAGATGATCGAATAGGAGTTATAAACGACGCCACTATACGCTTGTCGCAAGCACGAAATCCTGCCTATTCCATTATCGTTCGTCTTGGGTGGCAGTCCTCGTGAGATAAAGTGCACCAGAGCCATGGATCGCGGAGAGGGCTTTCTCATGTTATACAGCAGTAGAGCTCTTTTGAGACAAAAGTTGACGAAACTAGATGGGCCTAGAACATCCCTAGCTAAGTTTTAAGATGGTTTATTGTGTGGCAGGTTGTCGTATACCTTGTCCACTCAGTCCACTCAGTCCACTCAGTCCCTTAAGTCCCCTAAGTCCCCTAGCTGAGTTTAGGGTCCCTCGTCTACTTGGAGCATTCAGACATATTTGTCGATCACACTCCAGATCGTAGATGGGGATGATGGGGGAAATCCCTTGCTAGCTGGGAAGATTAATGGCCGTCTCCGGTGTGTAGGACGTTCAAATTTGAAGCCAACGAGAGCTGTCAAAACTTGCTCTTCCTCGTGGGGTGGAATGGTGAATCCCATGATTCTCATCAGGTAGTGCCAAGATCCATTCAGAAGATAGCCATTGATAAGAAACGGGTTGACCCCAGCACAAAAAGCGCGGGGGGACCAGACGAGGAGCAGGAGTAAGACTTGGGTTGCGTCTCTTGAAACGTTGAACGCGTAATATTTGGTAACGAATTAACTCGAGACCAACAATCCCCATTTTCCCCGTAAGAGCCCCAATAGATGCGTCATGATCAACAAGGTCGACCCTCTTATAAAAATATAAAAAATTGCGCAACTGGGAGTTGCAAACTAATTCGATGCCGGACGGGGAATATGTACTACTACATACATAGTAGACAAGTCCAATGACACGACACACATATCTATGGTTGCATACTAATAAATAAGACTGGCCCGCTTGCATATGCACTCGGTATTGCGACGTAAAATAAGATGCAACATAAGAAGCCGATTTATTAAGGGACTTGCCGACCTTTCGGTTACGCCATGAAGACTACGGATCCGTACCTACGACTGAATTAAGACTCGGTAAGTATTACTTCAATAACGTAGGAGACGGGAGTTTCAATATTAAAGCCATCAAATCCTTCTCTTCAGGTGGCTTGGAATTACCCCGAGGTTTATCTATATCAAGACGGGATAGAATTGGTCAATATTAGAATAAGTATGTCTGTTGTGGAAAGGAGAAGTTGAAAGATGACAATGCATTGGATACCTTGGATGGATACCATCTACATATTGAATCAGCTAATGTATCAATAATACACTAAAATATATCGGATGCCGAATCACTTTTACCGATGCTCACTTATAGAATTTACTCTTGAATAAAATATCAACATTATGCTATGCTAATATCCATATCTACTGATCAAGTGAAGTTGCATATGATGTAGGTCTAAAACTTGTAAGTCCTACCCCCTTATGTAAACAAGACCTTAAGGTTACTAATGGTCCTTATGTCCTAAATTCTTAGGTATATGTACCTAACTCAAGGACCTGATCCTTTATAACTTCCATCTGGAAGGAAGAGTTCCTTGGCTTTCTGCTGCGGAATCAGCCGTATCAGCCATATCAGCCATATCAGCCACTAACTAGCCAGCCACATCGCGCCACATAATCTCGTAAGAAATCAAAGAAACAAAAGAAGTCCGGGGCAATGGCCTAAGCTCCACGACAAATTCCTAAAATGTCAGAAATATTCCTTATCCCCGTCCAACCCCATGTCGCTTCTGTCATCTTTTCCCAGCCCTACAAGGCGGTGATGGATCACCATCTCACCATATCAAGCCACCCCCGGACACTGCATCCGTTAGCTCTCCTCTAGAATATACATACATAGGTAGTGATGTGATAAACATGGCCTCTTGTTGAAATTCAATTGCCGTTTTCACACCTATCTAAACGGGAGCTGAGGCATTCGTGCATGGCCGAAAAGCTATGGAATCATGGGATCCCCGAGATACCCTAAACCAATAAACCAATTGAGAAGACAATCTCATGTCCCGAAAATGCAAAATATTCGCAATAGCTTCCCCGGTAGGTTGTGCTACCAAGATTCCATAGTCTTGGGTCGCCTTTCGAGAACTCTTCCCGTTCATCAAGATAATTGCCAAGGAGTTCCCGATACTTACTAAAGCAGCCATACGTCTAAACCCGAGAGGTTTGATGAAAGGACCTCGCATTAGATCTTTCAAGCTCGAATAGCGTCGCTTTCTGGCTTTACCCTTAAGCAAATTGTGTCTTTTCACGCTGTGCTTTTGATTGGACAGCGCCCGAGTCCTGCAGTCAGCAAGCAAATTCCCACTCAGCTGGCTTTTGCATCTGAGTACAAGGCGTAATTTGGGGTCCATTCTGCCTTGTTGCCTGCGTACTTCACCGAGTCGGATTTTGGACCCCAACTCCATCGCTTGCACTCTCATGCAGCCCTGTGAGCCGCGAACGGTAAGATAAACGCACTGCCGATAGTAATTACAAGGGGAGGTCCTGAGGGAGCCTGTTAGTGGTCACCAAATGGCTAGATCTGTTCTTATTAGTCGGTCTTCGTTACCGCTGGTCCTAGGGTACAAGTACTGCTGCACCTGCACCAGTACCAAAAAGTCCTACATCGTCATATTCAGGGTAGTAGACAAATTTCTAGATCCTTCAAAATAAAGTCATGGATCGGTGGCGATCCGTTTGGCCCCGACCTCTCTCATTCCGCTCAAGTGCTAGTCTATAGATCAGACCTCTGTTGCAGCAATGGATCCGAAAAAGAGCTTTGCCACTACTGAATCGGCCTCTATTGATGATGCTTTGTTCGATTTAGACCCGCCGGTCGGGCACCATGCCACGGTACGGTCTCCTTCTCTCGACTCGAGGCGACGGTCGAACTCGAGCCTACAATCAGAATCTAACCCACAGGCACCATCGCCATGCGCGTGAGTAGCGATGGGATATTACCGTGGTTCTGAATATACTAACCTCTCAAGGACTCGAGAGATTCCAGGGGAGGAATGTGCATTGCAGAGATTCATCGTATGGGCAGCCGTCAAGCGAAACAAATCGGTTCGAATGGCAGCAAGCGAACGCCTAAATTGCCCTCTTCTCTTGTGCGGAGAGCGATTCGACAACCATGAAGCGATGCTAAGACATCTGACTAAATGCCAACACCTCAAAACTGGTGAATACGTATGCTACGACTGCATGAAAATCGAACGATATAACGATGGGAAACGTCGGTGTTGTGTAGGCCACTCGACCAAACGAAGACGTATTATCAACATAGCCAGGAATTTTTTCTCGAATATAGGCAGCAAGACACGAAGGGTACCACATTCTGACTTCCAAGAAGATATTACAGTACCTCCCCCTAGCTACGATTCTCTCGTAATCGACCTAGAAGAACAAAGTGAACGGCAACAGCAGCTGCAGCTGCAGCGTCAGCAGCACCAAAACCGGTCCCAGCAGCAGCAGCAGCAGCAGCAACCCCAGCCTCATCCCCAGATAGAACTAAATGGTACAGAAATACATGAGTTAGACTCTAGACAGATGCTACCGACAGCTGAACTCGATCCTATCAACTATGCCACACAACCCGTAGATTTCCCCACGACCCCAGATCAACAACACAATACTACACCGGGGATTATAGTGCCCTCCCAAACAACCATACTTCCGGGGCACAGTGAGCTGTTAGCGCCCTACTCAACGCAACAACATCATCAAGACGTTTCCATGCCTCCGCCTAATTTAACAAATACAAATCCAGGGGGTCACCGACCATCGTTAGCCCTAGATACTCACATAGACCGTTACAGGAACGTTCCCCGTACGAAACACCTTTCTCCGAGTTCGTCGCTTCGATCAACAAAAAGTTCGCATAACATTTCACCAGTTACTCCATGGAGCGCAGATTCAACCAGTTCCGGAGCCTGGACCATGGGCTCAAGTATTGATACCGCGATGACATCCCCAATAACACCTTTAAGTCCAAGTAACTTTCTACCAGCATCCCGGCCTGAAGACATCTTGAATACCGAAAAGCCCACATCCCCATGCCCAGACGACAGGTGTGATTACATGGTCGACGACATGTCTGAACTACCAGGTGATGATTTGTTATCTATACCCCGTGGACTCTCTGATCCGTTGATGTTCTCTTTTGAGCCTAAGGATAATTACTCATGGATGCAGTCCGTAAATACAGAGATTTCGCTTTCGACTTCCGTCAATATGATGTTTACGGGACCTAACACCAAGGCCACGAGTATGCCGTCCGGATTCCTCGAGCCATCAGATCGCAGCCCAGATACCAGGACCCTTGTAGAGTCGGTATGGGATGCCCTACAAGAACATATCGCATCTTCAAGGTATAAACTGTCGCACGTCCAAGGAAATCCATTAGCTGAGCAACTTCAAACACAATCACCAAAAGACATGGCATTAAATGGTCTCTCAAGCCTGAGGAGAATACTGCAGGGAGGTAATCCTACAGATCCGTTTGATTACATCTGCTTTATACATCTTATTTACGCCATATCCCTCGTAATCCACGAAAGCGAACTTGCAACTCGTTGCAACGCATTATACCAACAAGCTCTTACTTACCGACGCTTCCTTGGGCCAAACCATTGCGAATATTATACGCAGGTCGTAGTAGCAATCTGGCAGCCGATACTAGAGGGGCAATCACATGTCTTTAGAGGAGCCCGTACAGATGGATCGTCAAGTTCCAAGGGTAAAGAACCCGAATATCGAACAGGCTCGAGGATCAATTTAGAAGCCGATTCTCTTGTTGCCGTAGGACAGAACTTCCTTGATGGTAAGTCACATCTATGGTGCTACCTACACAATCCCGCTAACCGCACCAATAGACCTCGAAAATTCCGTCATAGCAAATGGTCCACCTAAATCAGATGAGGTTTTCACATCTCACCTTTATTCCACCCATGTAGCAGAAACCCATCCGAGCTCTTTAGACGACAGTCCTTTTTCAATAACGGCTGGTTATATTATTCAAAGTTTAAACTCTGGATTCGGACATTCTGAAATGCTACTACCAAGACTCGGCGACATTGGGCAAAAAGTTCGTGTTGGGGAGATCACCACCATTCGCAAACTCGAACTTGCGATGTTGCAAGCCGGCAAAGTAAGTTTTTCTCATGTTAGATACAAAATGATAGATGGTTTAGCTCAAGCCAGTCGGAATGGCCGCTCTCTTTATCAAAAAGCTCGATTTATGTTACGAATTACTCTTCGTGTACTGGCTGACAATGAGGACAGAACTCTTTAGACTCTTCCGACCTCTTGAACGAATTTATTCCACAAGTCAGGAGACTTTGTGACCCGATTTATTCTAAACAAGGGCTTCAATCAAGAACAAGATATCAGACTTTGGGAATATCGTTGGTAGAAGCTCTTGTTCAAACAATTGCGTCTAATACCCAACATATTCAAGGAAATCCTACCGGGTTTTCATTAGAGCTGCCTGAATCAACATACGACCAGTTTCTCAATTCATTTCCTTTTGATAACACCGCTGGTATTGAAGGGGAATTCCTCGTGAATCTTAACACAGGTCCTTCTCAGCAAAACCAAACGGGGCTCGCAGGTACTCCAGATTTTAACCCGGAGCTTGGTCCCATCGACCTTCAAGGCATGAGTACCAGTGTTCCACCCCCGACGATTCCCACCGAAGCTTTTGCTGAAACCACTTCTCACGCCGGGACCCCCGACAATTCGTTTGTGGCTTCGGCTGGTTTCTCGCCACCGATTACTGTTCCCACTCGACCGAAACCTCTATCGCCGGCCCACGTCGAACTACCACTAAAGCCGATATCCTCCTCGGCTCAGAAAGTGGAAGCAAATGACGCCTGCGATATTTGTGGATACCGCCCGAAGGGGGACCCCCAATGGTTCAAAGGCAGTATGGCAAAGCACAAGAAGATGCAGCATTCGACTGGACCACCAGTAATCTATAAATGCCCTTTCCCCGGGTGCAACAGTCAATACAAGAACCGCCAGGATAATCTACGCCAGCACCAAATTGACAAGAATCACTTCGTTGGGGACGAGACAGGCCGAAGACCTAGTAAGAGAAAGAAGTACTCTCCGGCAGAGTAGATACACCAAGGACGTGAGAGATGATACATGAAAGGCGATAAATCTATTATTTGATTCTGCATTAGTTGGGCGCCTAGGTTCCTGATTCATTTGGGTGGTTCTTCGTCGTTTTCCTTCTCCCCTAAACCCTACGCTTGTCACCTTTTTTTTTCGCCGTCAGCTAGGGGCTTTAGGACAGGACTTTTAGAGATACCACTGCGTATATAGAAGATAGATCTAGGCTGATAGGCACTCTACACCAGCAGGATGTGATTACAGCTGGGCTGGATATACACGATTATGAAGTTCATACTTTACAATGCTCATGTTTAACCAAGTAGCCCGTTCGGTTTGTTCTGTACCATATCCGTTACATCGACTGCTTGTGTGAAATAAATGTGCACCTAAGAGGCCAATGGGTAACCTTACTTATTCCTTCGTAAGGAAAATTTAGATAGTAGCACCGTTCGGAATAGGTACACGTTCGAACAGGATTGAGATCAGACCCAGTTGCTGTGCTCAGCAGAATAAGGGGTTAGGGGGGGAGGAAACGCCACACCTTAGTCTCTCAGTGCACGGCATAATCATTCCCTTACTAAGCGAGGTGCATACCTACCTCATAGGGCTAGGGTCTGGCGGTCCCGCTATCAGATCAGATTAGGTAGTATCGCGAGGGAGGGAGGGAAAGGGGAGGGAGGGTGAGTGTGGTAGGTAGGCGCTTGCTTGCTTGCTTGCTTCCTTCAGGAATCTATGTATGCTTTGCTTTCGTAAGGCTGACCGGAAATATTTAATCCTAGCACCGCCCAATTACACGCCGCCTGGCGTTGGGGGGGGGACAGGGGGGATAGGGCTTACGTACGCGGGATCGCTTCCTTCGGGGTCCGGAAACGGTATGTTTGGGGTGCGGTGTACGCGCAGTGTTACATGCCCGCTCGGCGTCGTCCGAAGAGCGCGGGGCAGGGTTGGACGAGAGGCGGGATGAGATTGGGTTTCCTTGCGGGAGGGATGAAAAGGCTATTAGCGATGTGGTTGTCTTGGCTATTTACCTACCTAACCTACCTACTTAGGGTCTGCGGCTGAAGGAGTAGAGACCCGGAGGGATCGCTCGGGAGGAACGAGATCTTTTCTTAGATGGGAGGGTGGTGTTGGTAAGTTGAGCGTTACACAGAAATGTCCGACTCTCTGGGTTACAGGTAAGTAGCTGGCTTCAAAAGATTCGGGTCAGACTTTAGCATCTTCTACGAATATGATTAAGCCGCTAGACCTATAGTAGACGTATTATGATATTTCCATGGGTTTTTTTCATTATTAATATTGACATATATACGTCAGCGTAGTGTAAAGTAAAATCATTCTTAACTGTGAAGTCTCATCGAGAAAATAACTATTATAAGATTGCTTGGGGAAAATAAAAGCTCGCCGTAAAAACCAATTCATAACCTGGGTATATGCCTTCCAAACGCCGTATGGTTGTGCGGATATACCTATAAAATCCACTCGTTCTCGCCTTCACCCTGTTTCGTGATGTTCGTATTCCTCTTGCTATTGAGGAACTTCATTATAGGCTACCTATATAGCCGTAGTTGTAAGCGTCTGATACTTGCTTAGAGCCATTCGATAACGCTCCCTTGCCATATGTATGGGTCAGGATGTACTCGAACTAAGGGATCTATGATCAGTTAGCTATCTCTAAGTATCTGTAAAGGGTGGTCATTTCCGTAACTCACTTCTATGACCGACTCGATAAGCATAGTCGAAATCTATAACCCAATGTTCCCAACGAATCAAGCCAGGCTTTGATCCGTGTTTGAACTCGAAGTAACTAAGCTGGAAAATCGTAAGCCCACGTCAGCGATGTCGTCGTTACTGGGGTACGGGGGCACGGGGGCACTTGCCTTGTCCACGAGCCTTTCGTAGTCGTCCAGTTCATAGATCCACGTGTTAGGCCTGGTAACATGTGAGAGCTTGAACATGACTTCTAATCGAACGAGGGAATTGCGTTCCGACCAGGCGTCTAGTATGTCGTTCAGTAGCCTGAGCCAGACCTTCCCGCTTCCGAACTCAGCACTATCACCAAGCGAGATTTTGATTTGCACGAATCGAAGGTTTTGCAATGTTGCTCTGCTGATGAAGTTGACTATGGAGAGGGGTGACGAGCTGCCCATGATCCAAGGCGGAATGCGGTCGATGACGAAGGGTTGGAAACATAGAAGGCTGAGTGCTTCTCTCGTTATCTGCCTACAGAGAAGGAGGATGGCAGGCGTCTGAAGAATAATCTTGGAGTGGCGCGATACTTTGGTATTAGCAGAGCGTGGTCGCAGCTCAATCTTAGCTTTGGCCTTTTCTTTCTGGTCGTAGTAATAGTCGTATAGATTTCGACATGTAGGATAGCCGATAACATAGTAGTATATAATGTTCCGGACCTCGGCGGGGAAAATAGTAAGGAAGGATTGATATCCTTGACTAGTAGTAACCTGTGATTGTCCGGGATCTACTGCGGGGCCGTTGAAGAGGAATGCCGGAAGGGACGTCAAGGCCGAGATTCGATCCGACTCTGAAATGTGGAGTCCTGCGGATTTCGGGGACGGGATCTCGGCATAGAGCCGGGCTCGTGCAATAGGATCCTTTGATGCCTTTAGGACTTTATTACGGCCTCGATGTTGCATGATTCTCCACTCATGAAGTTTCTTTCGGCTCTCCCATCCGGCCATTGTAAAAAGAGTAAAGGGGGCCGAGGGATATGATAGGATAGGATAGGATAGGATAATGTACCTCCTAGGATAGGCGAGATTAAAGAAAGTCTAGAATTAAAGTTGGCTATGACGACTATGCCGTATCACACAATGGGGAAAACCCGAATGAGTTTAAACGACATCTAACCCTATCGCATTGTTTGTGTTTTATGCTGTTTATGCCCAACTACGGGAAGGAATACCGGAGTTTGAGGTCTTGAGATTTAAGGCTGGCGCCCAATAGCGGAGGCAAGTTGAGTTTGAAGGTGACAATAGCAAGCCTCAGCTTAGCCACTAATGCATACCTAATGCAATACCTTTTTTTAAAGTTTTACTTGGGCTAATCTGAGAGAGCCTTTCTTTCACTGCAAATGCATAAGATAAATGCATAAAGTCTGGTTTGAATCAGATGGTCCCAGCTGTTGAAACTTACCTACATACCTGAGTAAGTAAGAGAAGAATATTCGAAGCAAACTATTCCCAAGGCGATTTTAATTCGACACCAACAAACATATCAAAAATATGCCCTCGAATTTACTCACCTTAGCCTCGAAATGATTGATACAACGATACTTTCATTCGGCCATAAGTCGATTATATCCTTGAGTTCTTAACTGCGTTGATCGAGGATCGAGAATGTTCGACTCCCCATAAGGCTGGGAGGTAAAGATGTTCAAGGCGGAGCTGGAAATTAAGCCTGTGGAGAAAAAAAAGGAAGGAAGTGTGTAATGATAAAAATCTAGAACAATTGTTATTTCTGTAAGTGTCATCACCTATTTTCCTATGGTAGTATCTTCTAATGAGGTAGCGATGTAGCATGCGGGTACGCGCAGGATAGATGTGTGTGGACATGATTAGGCACGTTAATGGGATGTTGACAAGTCGTTTTTTTCTTTTTCTTTTTCCGACTGTTGTCACTGTATCCATCTTGTCATCTAGCCCATCCTGGAATACACTACCTACACTATGTATGTACAGCAAATGCACGCCGCTTAATGTTAGGTGCTTAATGTTTCACTTAAACCGGATTGGATGAATAGACTATTTGGGGCCAATTGTATCGACGTGTACTAACCAGACAGCAGCAAACAGCAGACCGTACATGTGGTATTCTAGGTAGAAGAGGAGAGAGGAGACACATCAGCTACCTGCTAAGCTACCTTGCCGTATGTCTATGCAGAAGGGTCTGATGGGAAAAAGGTATTCGTGATCACTTATGAATGGATGCTAAGAATAACATTAGTTGGGGCGGGTAAGATATGAGAATTGATGAGGTTGAAATTGAAAATTATATTGATTTTGATTCAAGATGTTGTTTTTTTGTATGTATTGTTTTGCCTGTTTGAGGTTGTCTTGTGCACGTTGAATTAATATACATAAGCAGACATAACCGTTGCTCATGCAAGACAAAAGGGTAAAGTGTAATTTTGTGCATAACGTTCAGTAATGTACCTTGTATATATTAGTCTTATATTATTATTAGCCCTGTCTTGCTTGTATTAGTTAGCGTTAGGTTAGGTAGGGTCGCATCAGCATTCATTGCCTATTATAGATTAGACGACGGTTTTAATCAACGGTCCAAGTACCTACTGTACAAGAGGTAGTATCAAATTGCACGTTTCAATTTTTAGGCTTTGCAAGCGCATGTACATACATATTATATTAGGTAGTACCCGCTGTTTAAAAATACCTACCAGTGAAGTCGACCTATGACAATCGGGACCCAAATCTTACGTGTACCTAACATTCGTAAGGTAAGGGTCCCTAACGTAGGTAGGTATTTTAAGGTACTCAGGCTGCTGCTATTTTATTTATTTATGTATTAGCTGCGCGTGTAGTTTTGAACAGTCTGTTCATTGTCGGAGCCTCGGGTCCTTTTTAAAATCTTGGTAGCAAAAAAAAAGAAAAACCAAAAATAAATAACAACAAAGTACAAGAAATACAGAAATTACAAAATTGCAGAATTACAGAATTACAGAATTATAAAAAATTTGTGTTGTCCTTTCCTTGGCGAGGGCTGTTGCATTTTTTTCATTTTTCTCACCCTCTAAAGGTTCTTCTACACCCCCCCCCCTCATCGCGCGCCGTTTCGCTGTTTCCTCGATTTCTCCTTCCTTGTTTTAACTCGGTTCAGTTTAGTGCGCCTCGAACAAGAACAAGTAGATCGATCTTTCATCCACTCCCACTACTCCCACTATTCCCACTACTCCTACCACCAAAGTCTTTTAAGTCTCTTTCCCGCTGATGAGACCAAGAAATTTACTGGAAATCCACCACCAATTCTCTTCAACCACACCCGTGCTTACCACTACCTCTGCCCTCCCCTCCCCCCTCTCCACCCCCCCTGCTAAGCCCTGGTAAGCCTTGAGCCTTATCATGTTGATCGTGTCGTGATATTTCCACACCCGCCATATTTTTTCTTTCCCCCTACCTTACCTTACATACCTTACATACCATACATTACATATTGTATCTGCCAAACGGCCAGGGTTGACATCACATCGTTCTTATCCTAGTTCGTTAGTGCTAGGCTCGTTGTCGGTTGTCGTTATCGGTTGTCGTTGTATTCTGGGCCCTCTTGGTCCTCCCGAATCTTCCTTTCGCCTTCTTGTCTTTTAGTCTGGAGCGTTTGTAGTGTTTTTTGTTCCCACGTCTTTCCTCCCCTCCGTCATGTCCGCCTTGGGCCAGCCCGGGTCCAGCTCCCACACCCATCCGGGCCTGACCTTCCCGCAGGTCAGCGGACTCAACAGACGCGGAGGATATCCATCTTCACACTCGTCCACGCCGCCGAAACCTTCTCCCACGCCTCAGCAACACCAATCCCCGTACCAGGCCGCTCAATATACTCCCCAGCAACCCCCGCAAGCCGCCTACCCGCAACATCTCTTCCAGAGCACCACCCCGTCTCCGGTACCCAACGTCGCCAGTCTACCTAACTTATCAAATGGCAACTCGAGACACGCCTCAGCTCAGGCTGCTCAGGCTGCTCAGCATGCCCAAGCTGCTGTGCAGGCCGTTCGCCAGCATCAACACCAGCACCAGCATTCTCAGCACCAGCGGAGTAGCCAGCAGCGTCAGATGCAATCTCAGCCGGGACCTCCAACCACAATGGCATATCTCCAGCAAGCCATGAACCAGCCTGTCCAATCCGTTCAACAGGTACCCCAGTCAGTACCCCAGCCGGTTCTACAGATGCCGCACCCTCAGTCGATACCACAGCAAATCCAGCCGCAACCTGTTCAACAGGTCCAGCCAACCCCACCGGTTCAACCGAACGACAGCAATCTGATATCTCCGAATCCGCCGCATCATCAACCTCACCCGCAAGCCCATCCGCAAGCCCACCCCCAAGCTCATCCACAGGCACATCCCCAGGCACATTCGCAAGTCCATTCGCAAGTACACCAGCAGGCGCTCCCTCAGCCTCTGCCTCAAGTTCATCAGCAGCCTCCGCCGCCATTACAGCCTCAGCCGACCCCTCAAACGCAGAGCCAACCGCCGCCAGCCCCTCGACCAGAGCCAAGTGTTCCGCCGCAGGAAGCTCAGCATCATGATGATATGGATATGGACAGTCAAGGGGAGGAGGGAGAGGGAGATAGTCACATTTCGCCTAAGCTCATCGAAGGAACACCCTTCGTACCGAGGACGCCAATGGGCACGATGATGTCCGCTCCGCCTGAAGGGGGTAGTTTTCCTAGTCTTGATGCTGTTCATAAGCACGTGCTTGCGTACTGCACATCGGTGGGATATGCCGTAGTTATTGGACGGTCGAAGAAGACTGTTCCGGGTTTAAAGAAGGTTCTTTTCGTATGTGACCGTGCTGGAAAGCCTCCAAGCCGGGTAAGCCCTGAGAATAGGAAACGAAAGACGTCTTCTCGCAAATGTAACTGCCAATTTGGGTTCTTCGCTATCGAACAGAGAACGCAGTGGACGATTCGCTATCGTCCCGACCAAACCCACCTCCATCATAATCACGGCCCTAGCGAGAGCCCGCTTCTCCACCCAGCCGCGAGGAAATTAGATAGCGAGATGGTTGCTGCCGTTAAAAACTTGAAGGAATCTGGTAAGTCTGGGCTTTGAGTCGTCGCGCCTATCGTATTGACTCATTTTAGGTATTGGCGTGACTCAAACTCTCGAAATTCTACAACAGCAGAATCCGCATGTACCTCTCCTCCCTAGGGATATTTATAACGCGCGTGCTGCAATAAATCGAAACCCGCAAAAAGTGGAAGCAGGTATCGCAGAACAGCGGCCGGCAATATATAGTAAGCCTGCCCCGTCCGCCGAGGAACGCATACGGTCCGACCTTAGGCGAGAGCTCGCTCGGGCCAAGGAGGAACTATCCCGGGTTAAAGAAGACAGCCGAAAAGAAGTAGAAGAGCTGAAGGAGAAGCTACGGGAGAAAGATAAAATGATCGAGAAGTTCGAGATGTTTATCGACATATGTAACGAACGGGTCATGGTACAGAGGGAGAGACTGAACGATACTGGCGGGGTCAACGGCGGAGCAGGAGGCTCAAATAACTAAAGGGACATGACTAAAAGGGTTTTTAAAATGAGACACGCATGGACGGGATCTGGTTTATTTCGAAGGGAAGCATCGGCGTCATGAGGGCTACGACTGGCACAGGTGGCATATAGCGGGGTTCTGGAGTTATACGGAATTTGCGGTTTATTCGCGAGGGAATACAACGGGATGTCAACTTTGCATCTGACTTGATGATTAGGAACCGCAAGGTATGCCAGTACTGGACATGGAAAATATAGACTTGGGGGGTATTGATACGGAAATCGGATTCAGTGAAGCAAAACATGGACGAGGGTGGTTCTATCATGATCTATCGTGTGTTCCGCCTCGTTCATTGAATTTATAGATGCCTTTAGCAATGCCTTTTTGTATTGGTATAATACGATGTGGTGATATACAATATTGCCAAGTAATGTGATGAAATAATTCCTACGATTAGGTAAGGAACCTTGGATTTCGCGTATTTAGCTAGCAAGATGTAGATGTATAAGTCTACACCCCCAGGGCCTAGGTATGGAATGGTATAGAGGATTTATATAAAAGCAAACGTAGTTTAGATTAAGAAGCCACAGCTTGGAGGTTAGTATAAATTAAGCTTACTGGCAATGCATCTGAATTTATTAGATACTTTGAGCATCTTTTAACCAGAGCCTTGGGGTTTGAATTAAGCTTATGTGACTGAAATTATGAATACATTTAGCGCAAACAGAGGAAACCACGGTGCTACACGGAAGCCTTCCCGTAATCAAAGTCGGAGATCCGTCTTGGCAAAGTGGGACACCGGTTGGTTGGAGCAGCGGAAGAGTGCCTTTACCTAACTAACTGGTAGGTCTTTTCTGCGAGTCCTTTATCTGCATTGTTACATAGGTACCTACTGCGTTGAGGGGGTTGAAGATGATTAGGGAGTTCAAGTAACTTTGAGGGGTTTGAGTGAAGAAAAGGGATATAAGATTAGAGAACGCTAGTTATGGTTTATTGTAAAAAGAGGTTTGAGGTGGTGGGATTATATTCATAACTTGACTTGGTGGCTTTTGCTGGTTCGCCGAATATATAGAATAGGTACTTACATGATATGATATGCGTCCTTTGGTTTACTAGTTGCTTTCCTTAAGGCTAACGACATCATCTTTTTTAGTGTGGGTTTTCTAATCATATTTATGACTTCTTGCTTTTACTTCTAATAGGCACTAAGGGAGTGCGTAGTATTGTATCGTTGAGTTCTTGAAAGTGTATGAAGAGCCGGCATTATAATAATATAGTTGGAAGCTTTAGTGTGACCAAGCGTAAGTACTTCTTAACTCAGCATTTCCTTCTAGCAGAAACAGCTCCATCTTTGAGGCATCCAACAGCTTCCAGTGGAGTTAGGGCGACAAGTTGCTGTTAAGTTGAGAAACGTCTCGTACCTTATATAAGGCTTCAATTTCTAGAGTTGAGATTTGAGATAATTGTGTCGCAAACCCAGAAGTTTCCTTGTAACGCTGGGGGGAACAGTATCTCTATTCTAGCACTTGGCTTTTAGATATATTTTTACACAGAGGTTTGAGCTCTGGGGTCTATAACTTGGATTGGTATCTTTTAGGATCGAATCTTTTATGTATACTGAAAGTCGACTCTATAAACTATTTCAACGTAGTCTACACCGTCTTAAATTTATTACCTGATCTGTTGCAATGTCCGTATTACACTTATATTAATAAGCCTCCTATAAAAAAGGTAGCAGGATTCTATAAAAATAAATTAACTATTGTTTTCTCTACAGCTTGAATGAAAACAAAACATCTTTAGTCGTATGTTAAGCACGCTTTCAAGTTGCTTGTCTGGTGAAACAGGGGAAATAAAAGATACTTGGTCCCCGATGTCTCAGGGGTTTTATGTACGTGTGTACTTCGTACATGCATATGTACGGCTGGTCCAGTGTCCAGTAGTCGTGGCAGCCCGTTGTTAGCCCCACACCACGGAGGACAAACGGCCCAATCAAAATCGGCACCGATTAGATAGGTACGAATTAGGTATCCCCCCATATTCTGCATCTGTATGTACGAAGTAGTCGCGACCCCGTTTGCCATTAGGTAGTTCGCGTAAAATGTAAAATGATTAATGACTGGTAACATAACAACTTCAAAAAAATATCCCTTCTTTTTGCAGCTGTATCACCACCCAATAAAACAAATTCGACGACGATACAGGTCGGACAAAACGGCAAAGACATTCTCTACGAACCCTACGCTCCTTTCGCCTCTGTCCTTTTTCTGTAACCTATCTCTACCTATCTAATCCGCATAGATACCCATCTTTTAATTTCCATTCGGAGCTTGTGCCTCTCTCCTGAGATCGAAACTCGAATACGTCTTCTAATATACTGAGAGATGATACCGGTTCTGAACAAGTCGATCGATCGCTAAACTGTTATTGTCACGATGGAGGCTGTGGCTTCTCCATTGGGCCTACAAGGTCCTGGTGCGAACGGCTTGTCGCCTTCCCCCTTTGTCATGATAGATCCGGCGTTGGTGGTAGATTATTTGGCTTCCGTAGTCACTATTGCCCTTGGGGCTACCCGTAGTGAGCTAGAGCGGCCCGGCAACCTTCTCTCGAAAGAAAACCACGACGATACGGTCCAAAGGTGTACTCGCTTTGCGACTGATACCCAAGTGGTTCTGTATATCCAGAAAGATGTGAAGCCGTCGGACGATATCCCCGACGGCCCTACCGATAATGGTATGAAGGCCTATCATTATCGCCTACATAGTTTCGGAGTAGTATTGCTAAGACTTTTGTTCTAGTCCCAGTTACGTACACGTACACAATCGCATCCGAGATATCTTCTTCGCCGACGACGATAGCCTATCTCGCACTCCTCAAGCGCCCTCAAGCGCTCGATTCCTCTCTACCGTTATCATCGCAGATCCAGATACAAACGCTTCCCGGAACCGCCTCGCTTGCTAATCTCGTTAGTGAACAAGGTCCTACTGCTTCTCCGTTTGAAATACTTCACTCTATTCTTCATAATGCGCTGGCGCCCTACTTCGATGCCAATACCAAGACCTCGCAAACTGCAAATGGAGCTAGGAACCGGGCGGACGTCGACGCGAAAACGGGAATTCCTGTAACCAAGAAGCGTATGACGGAGCTTGAATTGAGCTTGCTCCATCTTCAGCAGAATGTTGAGATCCCAGAATTATCACTCTCCTTTCATCCGATCGTCCAGGGGGTATTGGACGACGCTGCTGCACGCAGTATGCGACCGACTACTGATATGATAGATGCCAAGCTTCTCTCAGAAAGTACTTTTATGAACAACTTACAGTCGACAGTAAATAGTTGGATTAAATCAATACAGACTATCACGAAACTCACCCGAGACCCCGTAACGAGGACGGCGACGCAGGAGATCAATTTCTGGTTGTCTATGGAGTCCGCGTTAGAAGGAATCGAAGGACAGCTGAGGAGTGAGGGAGTTACGTTAACTTTAGAGATCCTGAAGCATGCAAAGCGTTTCCAGGCGACTGTTAGTTTTACCGCTGATACTGGCCTGAAGGAGGCTATGGAGATGGTACAGAAGTACAATCAACTCATGCGAGATTTCCCTCTTGATGAACTACTCTCTGCGACCTCGTTGCCTAAGGTTCAGGACGCCATTGGCCAAATCTTCAGCCATATGAACAAGAAGATGAGGTTCAGCAATTACCCCATAGCGCGAACTTTGCATTTGGTCGAAGCCATCTCAGCGGATCTTGAGGACGTTATGCATCGCCTTCTTCCAGGCTCTGAACTAGTCGATCTGGATTATAAGGATTTTAAAACACTTATGACTACTGCTGATGAGATCTTCAAGTCTTGGGACGCCCAGATCAAAGACTTCACTAACATCGCTCGAGAGACGACCCGTAGAAGACAAGAGAGGTTCATTCCGATCAAGGTCAACCCGAAGCATAACGAGTTACAGGCTCGACTGAAGTATATTGATAACTTCCGAGATAATCATGAGCAGCTGCAGAAGACGATCATCAATGTCCTCGGCCCGAGGACCACTGCCAATGGTGTTACCGAAGAGACGACGACCAACGGCGTTGCGCTGGTTGAAGAGATAGGCGATGTAGATGCCGTCGAAGAGGTCCGGCAAGCTTGGGAAGCATTGAAGAATGTTGATCTGCTCGACGTTTCTCCCGAAGGTACCCAGCGATGGGTCAAGGCCGAGAACACTTACAATGAACGCACCTCGCGGGTAGAAAACTCGATCATTGCTAGACTGCGTGATCGCCTTGCAACAGCAAAGAACGCGAATGAAATGTTTCGTGTTTTCTCTCAGTTTAACGCTCTATTCGTGCGACCTAAGATCCGGGGTGCTATCGCTGAGTATCAGAATCAGCTCATTGATAATGTGAAACAAGCCATCTCGGGGCTTCACGAGCGCTTCAAACAGCAATATGGCCACTCAGAGGCCCATGCTATGGCTCAGTTACACGACTTACCGCCCGTCTCCGGTGCCATCATTTGGGCACGCCAAATCGAGCGTCAACTTGATAATTATATGAAGAAGGTCGAGGGCATTCTGGGTACCGACTGGGCCCTTCATACCGAGGGTCAAAAATTGCAAACTGAGAGCGAGCTCTTTAGAAAGAAACTGAATACGCAAATGATTTATAAAGCCTGGATTGAGGATGTTCAGCGCAGGCATATCTCGATATCTGGTCGGCTCTTCAATATCAATAAGATTAGAGCCGCGAACAATGCGCTAGACCTTTCGGTAAACTTCGATGCCCAAATTATCGCGTTATTCAAAGAGACTCGCAACCTTGGTTGGCAAAACTTTAACGTTCCTCATGCCGTAAATAACACTGCGAAGGACGCTAAAAGGGTGTATCCGTACGCCGTTAGTTTGATGGAAAGCGTCAGAACTTTTACTCAGACGACTCGGCAAATATCGGAACTACCCGAGGTTTCTGTTCTACTAAGTGGCTACCAGAATGAAGTTCATGCCCTGATCGGCAAGGGTGTACCTT